GCATGCAAGTATTATGTATGTATGTCTTATGTGTGTATATTACATATATATATATATATATATCCATATGTATATATATATGTATATATATGTATATATGTATATATGTATATATGTATATATGTATATATATATATATATATATATATATCTATATATATATATGGTCACACCCCCCCCCCCCCCCCCGCCCCCCCCAAGATCCACACCCGCCTCTTCCACGCTATTCCACAGGTTGTTTCTCTACATTGGTCGACAACTCATATATACCGAAAACACCGTAAATACCGATACAATCGTGCTTTACCTCATGTGCATACAAACCGTGCTGCTGCAAGGCGCGGGTTTGATATGTGTAAAAATCTGGCGCCGAATCTCGGCCGCGGATTTATGGTAGTTTATGTGTTGGAGAAGCTGAAATGCTGGAGGGCATGCTAATTTTGTTCATGTAATACTAAAAAACTTCGTGTTTTTTTGCATTTTAGGGTGTGTTATTTATCAACATTCCTCTAATAATACAAATACTCTTGTCTCTCTTACGAAGACGTCTGCGTGCGTGGGCCATCTCTTTCCCGCTGCTCGTGAAGCGTCCGATTCTGATGCGGCCTAATCGTTCTAGCATGTGATTTAAGAGTTACGAAATACGATGAGCTCCTTACATGTCCTGTCCATTACACATGAAGGAAGTCGAATATACGGGCGCGTTTATTTTTGAAGCAATGCTCCAATAGTTATTCTTTGCTTCATAAGAAATGGGAAAGCTCCCCTGGAGTTGAAAAGTTCATGTGCATATGCGGGCGCACAAGACGGCTCGTCTGCAGCAAGAAGTAAGAGAGCTCTTGCAACCTTCCAAACATGAAGCAAGACTAATTACGACTCTTCTCCGGGGTATAGAGCAGCATCAATAAGAGTTAACTGAATGAAAGCTCATGTATCGTAGGAAACCGAATAGGAAGTTTCCATTGTTTCTGATGATAGCAAAATGCAAACCGTTTCCGACAGTCTTCAATATGAAATGAAATAAGTTCTGGATAGGCTTGCGATTGTTACAGTGTTGGATTTGTAGGCGGTGAAGCTCGCCGAAGAAGGGCCAAAGCCATTTTCGAGAAAGCTCAGGTACTAGAGCCAGTGCCGCTGCCGCCATAGATCTACCAACCTCCGAAAACATACATGAAATAAACTATGTAACGATTAGGCTGGCCTTGTTCATACTTATCAAACCAGAGTAATGAAAACCTTTGCTGTTCCAGAAGACATATAAAATAGTACTTCCAGTCCCTGACAACGGTTGTAAGCACACAATTATCTTGTGATACGCTATATCAGTATATCCTGTCTTGGACATCAGAAAACACTGTAATGCTCAAAAAATTCCAAAATTCCCAACCCCAAAAATCACGAAACACTGTAATGCTCAAAAAATTCCCAAAATTCCAAAATTCTGGCATCTATGGCCAGGACGGGGGCAAATTCCTTAAAAATTTTGAATTTTTGAGCATAGCAGTGTTTCGTGAGCTTGGAGGCTGTGAAAAGTTGATTTTTTTTGAGCATTACAGTGTTTTGTGAGTTTTAAACCACGAAACACTGCTATGCTCAAAAAAAGTAAGCTTTTAGGCTGTGAAAAGTGGATTTTTTTTGAGCATTACAGTGTTTTGTGAGTTTTTGACCACGAAACACTGCTATGCTCAAAAAAAGTGAGCCTTGAGTCTGTGAAAGGTTGATTTTTTTTGAGCATTACAGTGTTTTGGGAGTTTCAAACCACGAAACACTGCTATGCTCAAAAAATTTCAAAATTCCCAACCCTGAAACTCACGAAACACTGAATGCGCAAAAAAATCCAAAAATTCCAAAATTCTGGCATCTATGGCCAGGCCGGTGGCAAATTCCTTAAAACTTTGGAATTTTTTGAGCATAGCAGTGTTTCGTGCGTTGCAAGGCTTGAAAAAGTTGATTTTTTTTGAGCATTACAGTGTTTCGTGGTTTGAAACTCACAAAACATTGTAATACTCAAAAAAAATCAACTTTTCACAGCCTCAAGGCTCACTTTTGCTGAGCATAGCAGTGTTTCGTGGTTTAAAACTCACAAAACACTGTAATGCTCAAAAGAACACACTTTTCATTGCCTCCAAGCTCACGAAACACTGCTATGCTCAAAAAAATTCCAAATTTTTAAGGAATTTGCCCCCGTCCTGGCCATAGATGCCAGAATTTTGGAATTTTTGGATTTTTTTGAGCATTACAGCGTTTCGTGAGTTTCAGGGTTGGAAATTTTGGAATTTTTTGAGCATAGCAGTGTTTCTTTGTTTAAAACTCACAAAACACTGTAATGCTCAAAAAAAATCAACTTTTTACAGTCTCCAAGCTCGCGAAACACTGTTATGCTCAAAAAATTCCAACGTTTTAAGGAATTTGCTCCCGTCCTGGCCATACATGCCAGAATTTTGGAATTTTTTGAATTTTGCACTGTTTCGTGAGTTCTGGGGTTGGAAATTTTGGAATTTTTTTGAGCATAGCAGTGTTTCGTGCGCCCCATGCCCCAAGAACCACGATGGCGTGGATCTTGGGGGGGGGGGGCGAGCATATATATATATATATATATATATATATGTATATATATATATATATGTACATATACGTAGAGGGACAGAGAGAGAGAGAGAGAGAGAGAGAGAGAGCTTACCCATCCAGTCATCATATTAACCTGGCCTCATATCATGCAAGTACCAGTCCGGGGGTCGCTCGAGCCTTAAAGACGTGGCCCTGCAGGTTGCGGACTTGCAGCGCGAGCAAGCCTCGAGTTCCGGACGAGAGGCGTCGGTGTGGCAAGACGACAGACGTTTCCCCCAAAGGCCGAGGACAGGGCCCCTGAGGCCATGCGAGGAGCCCGAGGCGGAATGCCAAGCGGAGACGGCCCATCCGCAGACCACGAGCTCTCGAGACTTCCAGGCCACTTGGAACTGCTGAGAAATGGCTGTGGCTGTTTTGGGCCTTTCAGGTCGAATGGCTATGCACAAGGCTCGCTGAAACTGCTAGGGAGGTGGAAGGACGGCCCGAGACTTACTGCCTTCCAGCTTTTTCCGTCGTGCCGGGCTCTTTCCTTCACTTCTAAGATCTGCCAAGGATCGGACGACTTCGAAGTAGCAAGAGGCCTTCCTCATATGGCGTGAGCGTGGAGAATCGAGACACGTCCATGGCACAGGACAGCAGAGTTGATTTGCAGACAACAGCAAACAGCTCAGAAGCAGGCACTGGCACAAGGATGCTATGCTGCTATGCTGCTATGACATGTGCATGGCAACAGTCGTCCCATCGACAGGCATTTGCGGCCTCTGCTGCGGCTGAACTGCTCCGTGAGGCGCAGGCGGCGCAGGATGCGGGAGACGATGCCCAGGCCGTCTCGAGAGTCTCAATTTGCACCGCACGGACCATGACTGTCATGACCCCCAAACCGCAAGGAGCCGCTGAAGGACCTTGGTGCGGCGCTTCAGGAAGGCTCCAGCTCCAGCTGTTTTGGACCAGAGTGGCCGGATCAATACTTGCATGGCAGATCCTCTTGATTCTGCACAGGTCAGCAGCTAAGCTAAGTAGGGAGAGTGCTTGACAGCACGTCTCTAAACGGCTGTAATGCGGATGGCGAATGCTCTGAGGCCCAGGGTTTCGCGCCCTCCTCACCAAGTCAAGCACAGGCCTCAGAGGCAAAGGCCACGCTGTGCGACAGTCGCGAGGGTGCTTTGGCAGGCACGACAGGAGAAGGAGCTGTCTGAGACTGTGAAGCCCTGTCCCAAGCTGGGCACCAAGACGATTGGAGACATGAAAGCAAAGATTTGTGGCATCAAGAAATCGAGGCCTTCCAAGAAGTGTGTCCAAGCTGAGCTGCCGGAGATGTGGTCGCTTGTGCTGGAGGAGGCGCTGGGATCTCCGGCAGGAGAAGGAGAAGTTTTTGAAAGTTTGGAGAAGCTCAGCTTCCGGAGATTGGCCGCGCCTCGCAGCGCCTGGAGTTGGCAGAGCGACGCGAGCTCGGCTCCAGGGCTCCCGCCGGGCGGTCGCCCGCGTGGGGGGGGCCCCAAGGCTCTCCTTCCGAGGCGCCTCCGCGCTCGATCTCTCTTGTGGGTCTTCGCAACGCGAGCCGTTGCTGGCAGCCAGGCCTGCAACGACACGTGGGACGACACGGCTTCCGAGCGCATCTGGCAGCTGCCTCTGAAGATCTCTGAAGCCTCGGCTTCCATGTCTTCTCCTGCTCCTGCTGCCTCAGATACTGTAGGTCAGATGCCGAACTGTCGCAACCAGCCAGCATCATGGAGGTGGGCACTACTCGTGACTGTACGGTGGAAAAACAGTGCTGCACAGATGCTACTGTTCACGGTCGTTTGTCGCCAGCTCTCGCCGCAGCCGTGCCAGGCAGTTCCACGGCATCCCTGTGCCCAGGGCTCTCCGTTCGCTGACGAGGTCGAGGCACGGCCTGAGAGCCTCGTGTCTTGTAAGCCGGTTGCGCACTTTGTGTCTGCCGAGTCCTGCGCAGGAATCCTCTACCTCAGCCTCCGAGGCTTCCCAGGACTTCGCCATCGGCGAGGCCTACAGGCCCCATTGTTGTGGCAGGTGAGCATGGTCGGAGCCTATGCGAGTTTCCAGAGGCCCAATCCGACGGATAGAATCGACCTTGCGCTGGCAGCTTTTCTGCGACATCGGCGAAACCGGCTGCGCAGGCTCACTATGGCATTATCGACAGGATTGTCAGGGTTGCACAGCTTTCCTGAGAATAGATGACAGTCCACTTAGCGTCGAACATCGCTTTGAAGGTCCCTCTTTTCCAGGCTTGCACACGGGTTGTACCGCGTCTTGACGGCACTGGCCACAATGGAAACCGCCCCACGACCGATAAGTTACTGATAAGTGATAAGGCTACGGCACCCGACGAGCTCTTCTGCGCTTGGCCTTCTGCGGCCGAGAGCTGGAAGCAAAAGAGGCCGGGTCTTGCCTGCTTGCTGTGCTTGATTTCATGTGCAGGATGGCCGTCATCATATTTTCGCAGTCTGGACAGGCAACCGACAGCGACTCCGATGCCTGGGAGCCACTGGAGGACTCGATACCCCCGACCCGCCATGCGGCGGTGCATGTCGGCACATGAGCTCAGATATCCCTGTGCCGCAGGAGTTTGCACGCCGTGTCGAGCGCGAGCAGAGCCGGCTGCTCCGACGGGCACGTGAGCGTGCCAAGGCCAGAAGTGGAGTTTCAATTCTGTCGTGACTGCATGCTTCATATGCCCATGCCTTCAAGACACTTAAAGATGTGCGGTGCAGGGTGCGTGTATTCGCGTTTGTTCTTTTTTGGTGTTTGTTTGTCTATGTAAGTGTTTTTTCGTAGGCTTCTCTGTTCGTCGTGGACACAGCGAAGCAGCCAAGCTCTCGCGTGCGTGGCCTGGCAGGTCCTGCAGAAGACGCCAGTACGAAGCTGATATGTGGGCCGATGCTGAGAAGACTGCCCAGCGTAATTGCAGCCCTCGGCAGCTGCGCCACATTGCCGAACAATCCTGGCTCGGGCTGTAAACGTAATTCACAAGGGCAACGGCTACAAACTTGCATGTTGTCCAGTCAGTTAATGCTCTGCATCGTCGCAGGCAGTGGTTTGGGCAACTGTTGGAATTCTGCAAGCGTGCATAGCCCACTGTGGATAACGAAGCTCGCTTTGACCAGAGAGTGTGCAGTGCCCAGATAATGAGATTGCCAACTTCAACAGATGCCACTTTGGAAGATTAGCTGCATATTCAGCTTTTCGACCCTGCTCCGAAAAGCAACATTGGCAAAGTGCCACTTGTAGGTGCAGAACAGCGTGCCTTAGGAATCGGATGTCGCCCCTGCTTTTTCCTCGCAGAGAGATTGCAGGCAGAGTCGCAGGCCAAAAGACAAGAGATGGTGTTCTCGAAGCTCTACCAGTAGTTACATTAGTTTGTGAGGTCGGATTCGGAATGCAACCTTCAAACTCGAGGCAGCGGGCAAAAATCCCAGTTGAAAGCAGGCCACAATTTGGGCTAAAAGGGTGATCCAATGTTCCGTTTCGGCATGATCTGCTTCGCTGGACATGTTCGCGGGGAAGTCGCTTTTGCCCCAGCGGCCTGTGTTCAAGCCTGTCTTGCCTATCTTACGTTTCACGGCGAATCGTATTCATTTACCAAGCCCGGCTATAGACGGCGGATTGGGATCACTGTTTTGGCTCCAGGTACACGCGCCTGAAGTGTGGGTCCAGCGACCGAGGACGAACCAACGCCAGAGCCGCAGAGTACCCATTCATTGGCGTCGCATCGGCTGCACCTTGAGCCTCAGGTCTTCACGTTGGAGTACGACCTACTCTGCCCTGTGGCCTTGAAGCATTCTGCCGGAGACCTCCTGAGCTGACCAGTCGACTGCATTCTTTCCTCAGAACTCAGCTGCCAAGCTCCTCGAATCGAGCGGCTGGTTCTGTTTGGAATGTGACAAGGCGTCCTCCTTCTAAATTTCGTCCTGCGGATGTGGTACACCTCCATGGTTGCTTGCGTCGGGACCTTACTGCAGCGACCGTGAAAAAATCATCTGCACTCATCATGAACTTGTCCGAGAAATTTGTTTTGCATCTGGCGCCAGGTCATGCACATCGTCGCACCACGCGATCTACCTTTCGCCACCCATTCCATGATTGTTGCTGGAGTCTGAGCCACTGAACGTGATTACATGCATCGGGGTTGGGTGATACCAAGCTGGCATGTGCAGACAGCATAACGAGCATGATCTACATGCAGTGGTTCGATTCCAATGATTCATCCCTCAAGTTTTCTTTCAGCCGAATGTCTTTAGATGTCGGTCCGCTGAGGAGAACACCTTGACGGTCTCGGTACGGGAGGAAGATGCTGGAATACTGAAGGAGGCCATGATGTATATCCGTCCGACCAACCTGGCGATGTGATTGTGAATTGAAAGGCTTGCCCGATCTGCCTGGAGTGCTTTCAAGTCGGTGACAAGGCGGGCGATGTAGCAGTGCTCTTGCTTCAGGCTGCCTTTAACTTCTGATCCGGATTATGACTGATGTCGAGTTTCTGATACATGATCATGCATCTCGTGCTGTTATGAAGCTGAGGGTTTGTGCTAGGTGCGAAGACTGCCCTGCATGCACCTCTTCCACGTTGTGGGCACCAAGCCCAGCAACGGCCGTGCAAGGGTTTTGGAGACTCGCGACAGTACCGCGGTCGTGGTCGTGCCCTGCTCGTACTCGGTTCACCTTCAATGCTTCTTGCGTCCTGTGACTGCGTCTCGGTTGCGGAAGGTGGCGAGTCTTCACACTGCCAGGGGCGGCACTGCAACATCGATAGGCAGCGTCACACAGCGAAGCCGTGCAGACAGTCGTGAAGCTGCTCCTCCAATCCAGGCATCTGGTCCTGGACAAACAATGTCCGGTCTGCAAAACACCTATCGATGTCATGGAGCGCTCATTGAAAACACGCCTGAACAAAGATGCTGAAAGAGTTGGTGCTCTCTGAATAGGAGCGGATGGAGCGCGAGAGTCAGCGGGAAGCTCAGGCAGTGGCCTCGGTGTCCTCAGATGCCCGCAGCCTTGCAAAACACGTCCGCGTTTGCAGGCGAACTCCCAACCCTCTCAGCCGCCAGATGCAGGCGTCTCCGATCTTCTGGACTTGAGCTTGAAGGGATCTTGAGTCGAACTACAGACCATGGTGCCATCATGGTGCTTGGGCTGATGCGGCACTTCTTCCCAGTATAAGGCTTACGGCATTGAGCAAGTCGGATGAGTCGGGGGCAGTGGAAGGTTTCCAATCCGCTTTCAGTGTGCTTGCAATGACTGCCGCCACTCACTCACGGTTCGGACATTCTCAAGCCATTCAACCGACGGGACGTTGCAAGTTCAGCCATGATCTAAAGTCCCTGCTTGACGGTAAGCCCAAACATCTTGCTGGCTTGTGCAATCCTGCATATGTCAGACCTGAATCTCATGACTCATGCGTCATATCGAGCGTCAGCGAGGTGCAGCCGGTATTTCTGCGGACAGGCCGGCGGCCACTCAGATTTTGAACTTAAGTAAGCCTTAAGCTCTGTACGAGGCAGAGTTTTGAAGATAAGCTACTGACCGAACTTCGTGTCGTGCCGCCACTAGTTACGTAACACAGGAAAGCACAGATGACGAATAACCGTCGCAGGGTGTCCCTAGCCGTTGAGTTCACCGTGTCGGTTGTGCCAAGGCGGAAGAGCCCCAATTACAAGCACCGGAAGCGCCCGACACGCAGAGACGAGGGAGTCAGCCCAACTTTTCTCTGCAAATTCCCCGCTTGCGGCCGGCCAAGGCCAGCAGCTGCAGGCCCGACATCGGAGGAGGCAGCCTGCCGGCCTGCCGCCAGCAGAGTCCTGACCAGAAGTGGAGCCGTTTCTGCTCCATCGAACAGGCCGACACCAGCGGAAACCGCTCCCTGGAGCCGGCGCTGCAAACTGAGATATCCAGCATGATGACCTTGAATCAGTTGAATCCGTTCGCAGCTTTTAACAATTTATTGCTGCTTTGTGAGAGGCTCTCCCCAGAACGCTTGCCGGAGCAGGCTCCTTCAGCTTGAGGTAGATTGAAACGCTTGCAGCTTTGACGCTTCTGATGTCCTCTTCGAGCTCTCGATAATGGTTGAAGGGCATGCACATCGGTGCTGCTATTCCCCAATCGCACATCGCAGCATGTGTCCGGTTGATCGCTCTCACGTGTGCAGGCAGCAGAGCTCGAGCGAGTTGTCCGCAGCCTCCAGCGAGCAGTCTCAGCTGTTCCATCATGATGCTGAATGGTTCTGAGAGTGTACAGTCATATCATTGTCACTTCAAAGCCTATGGCCCTTTCGTACTGCTCTGCAAGTCGACGACAATGAGGTCAAGATGGCTACAAATTCAGGCTTCTCCCGAGAAAGCTTTGCCTGCACATAGCCAGTCTTCGATGAGAGATCGTCATCACTGTCTGCTCCTGGCTTGCACTGAAAGAACAACACCCCATGGGTCATTGTTCTAGTGCCAGGATGTTGTGGCTGGCGTCCAACAAATGCTGCAGTCTCGGTACCGTCTTGTGCATTGCCAAAATGCACCTTGAGACGAAGTGGTTCAGGCTTCACTACATCGAGGAGAGATCATGGCCTGAGCAAACCACAGCTTGTGCACTTTCAGTCGGCAGTGCTCAAGCCGACGACGGACTCAGCCAGGATAGCCAAACTGCGCTAAACGCGGCCCGAACTGGCGCAAGCACTGTGCAAGGCAGCGGTGTCGAAGTGTTTGGCTCTTGCCTTGGTCGAGCTTCCTGGCTGCATGCCAGCGTGCTAGGCCAAAATGGTGCGACGGAGACTCGACAGGCGCCGGCCAAAGCCGACCGGTCGTATTTTGGACCGCGTATTTTGCCTGCTGTGAAGGTTCTTGCTCAGATGCAATCCTTTTCTGACTTGAAAGGTGGAGCCCTCGCCTCAACCTGAAGAGGCTCATGTTGAAGCCGTGGACAGTCCGGCCGCGCCCAGTGCCCCCGGCGGCGCCCCTGAAGAGAGACCTGGTCAACTTCAAGTGGAGCTCGAGTTCGAGGTGCAGGTGGACACCGCCCCGCAAGAGCAAACACAAACAGCAGAAGCACGTGAGCCGTTGGAGCAGACAGAGCCAGGCCCCCCAGCACGCAAGACGCGAGCCTTCACGGCCGCGAACAGGAGTTGCCTGCTTCCAGCTCAGGCCTGCGCCAACCGGTCCAGCTGTCACGGACGAGGCCAGCAGGTTTCGGGCAGAAGTCAAAAGAACGCCTTCTGGTTGGAACTGGCACGCCGAGTCCGGATGCAGCCACTGAGGCCGAGAAGCAACGAACCAATTCAGCTCAGCAAGTCAGGAAGTACGTAGCTGCCAAAAATCCTGCTTAGCTTACGCAAATAGCATAATGTACCTAACCTCTACCGCCTCTACCTTAATGACGTGTCAACGTCGCAGCCTTTGCCGCCTGGCCCTTGCCATGGCAGTCCTCGTCCAGACTTTGGTGGTGCAAGAAGGGAAGGCCAGGCGGCCATGTAACTGACCGCCTGCATTTGAAAGTAGGGTCGTGATTTTTTCGTGATGAAATCTCAAGCGGCTGAGCCACCCAAGGCCACGTCATTGAGTGGTCCCGCTCAAACTGAAGCGCCCCTGCGGCGATCAGACTTCACGTGGCTGTCAGGTGCTCCTTGGACGCTGGAAACCCGGCTCGGGTGCCTTTGCTGGCCGTGTCACGGCCCTCCTCGGTGCCGCCACAGACCCAGGCTCGAAGCGCGTCTGCTGCAAGCACAGGCACTCGCTAACTCTGCCGCCTTACCTTGTATCAGGAGTGTCGCCCGAAGCTGCAGCGGTCTCAACAGCAGCGGCACTGGGAGGCCTTGGGCAGAGAGCAACTGCCAGTGCAAGAGTGTCCTTGCCTGCGAGGTTCTCTGAAGATGACTCGCCTGAGGCGCAGGGGCCTATTCGGTTTTCAGGAGTGCCGGAGTGGAGGAATGAGGAAGCCTGCGCGAACGGAAAGGCCTCAAGCCTCAAGCCCATCCTGCCTTCCAGCCGTTTTCGAAGGAGTTGGACTCCAGTCACGAGTCCGCACAAGCACTCGGCGAGCAGTACATGGAGCATCAGATGCTTTACCGATCCTTGAGCTGCGGTTCGTGAACTTACACGCCTTGCTGTTGTAGCGTGTTGCTATGATCTCACTATTGGCGAGATGCTTCTCTCAGCAAGGACTGCAAGCCTCCGAGCACTTCCAGCTTGCACCCAGCGATCGGTTTGAGCCGATTGGATGGTTTGGTCAAGGCGCATGGAGAACATATTGTGCGGAGCCACGGAAATCGACCGCGGCTGAACTAGAACTAGTAACTAGAATAACTAGTAAGTATCTAGAGTGCTTTGAGGAATCTGGTTTGCTCGCACCTCGACACCTTGCAGGTGAGATTCCGTTTGATGAGATGCCTGAAGACGACAAGATTTGGTACGACCGAGTGCTGTTCCGCGACCACTTGCTGCGTGGAAGCTTCAAATTTCGAGGCCTTTGCACTCGAGCCTGTGAGGTGCAAATGTCACACGCGAGGGTGCTGGGCAGTTGCGCAGGCACCGCTTTGCTGGAGCACGACCTCGAAGAAGTCTCGCCGGCACAAGGCTGAGGGTCGGGAACCGGGGCATACTGGCATTCAACTCTCAAGCGCGATGGGAAGTCGGAACGGTTCATGATGCATTTCGCCTTCAGCAGGCCTTTGCCAAACAGATCCTGTCGGGGAGGCCCTGCCAAGTGGAGAGGAGGCCGCTTGAAGGGGCCGCTGAAAGGAACAGCGACCTGCGAAGAGAAGAGGCGTGTTTTGAGCGCAGGAGGCACCGCTCTTGATCTCCAATCCCAGCTGCTCCAAGAGCCGGGCTCTGCAGGAGGCCAGGGCACTCCTCTGCCTCTCTCTCTGCCACTCTCTCCTGTCTTCCTTTGTTTGCAACTCAGACGGCGACTGTCTTAGTCGTGCGATGTGTGGAATGCCCACGAAGCGGCTGGAAGCCACACTCTCAAACTCCTTTTTTCGGTCGAGAGAAGTGCTCGAGTCTTCGCTCCGGCGATCGTCTGTGAGACATTGCACGAGAAATGTCACCCGGCCAGTTTCTGCCACATGCCGAAGAACATCGCTCTACCGACTGAGCCGCTCGCTCAAGCTTACATCAAGCTTATGACGAAAGCTCCTCTCGAGGAGCACGAGTGGCCTAGCTTTGCTGACCAGTCAAGCGGTGTGTGGCCAAACTAGCACTCAGTTCACCCAAAAGCGCACAGACAGACAGACAGACAGACACAGACGCAACCGCATTTAGCGACAGTCGCCAATGCTGCTGTGACTGTCGCAACTGGGCTTCAATGATTTCAATGCTTCAATCCAGAAACGGGTGGCTGACGATTGTCCTGCAGTGTGTGGGAAGGGGGGCGAGAGCCACTGTTAGCAGCTAGGACGTTTCATGGAGCCTGGAGCTGCGTCCTTGGGCAGCTCTTGATCGCTCCTAGCAACTCCAAAAATGGGTCTGGCAACCTATCGACACGACCGGCAGAAACAGAAGCACACATCTCCCCAGACGGCCCAGGGAACATCTGCCGGACCACGGCCACTTCACCAGAGCCGGCCGGAGGGGACTTGACTAGTACACCGTGGCTATAGATGCCTAACCTTTCCCCCTGGTGCAAGGGTTTGCAGAGAAGTGTTGGAAAGGAGTTGTGCTCCGAAGGTCGAATTGGCGAACGAAGCTAAGAATTCTAGCGAAGCATATGATGGAAAACGAGCTTCGGGACAAAGGCGGAGGCAAAGAGTGGGTTAGAACGACATTTGATGTTCACCCGTTGCATCACAGATTTGGTGACAGTTTGCGACATGCGATGCCTTAGATTTCGGTCCAACTGGTCAGACTGGAGCGGGAGAGGCATTGGATGCGGCTGGCGTGAAGTACCGCGATCGATTCTACTTGCAGGCCCTCGCTTACCACATGAGGGGGCATGCCGGTGAACTGCTGTGAAGAGTTCTTTTTGGGGTACTGTAATGGTTCCGTGCAGCTCCGGGACTCACGGGCAGGCCCCTTTGAGTCTCAGCGAGTTGGAGACCTTGTCGTCTCGCTTGGAGGCCGGACGTGTTGAAGAGTGAACGCTTCGAGGGAAAGCACTTGTCAGGTGAGGGAGGGATCGGCTGCAGGCTCTGTTCGGTGCTCTGATGAGTGCGAGATGCACTTGGAAGCTTCACAGTTTGAAGGTGCACTCTGCCGCGACACTGGGCTTGCAGCTGGACTCAGGATCACCAGTGCAGGGGGCTAATCGCGAAAGCTTGTCTCCCAGATCCGGCTGTCCAGGTCGAAGCTTCGGCGGAAGAACACATCCTCGAGGCGCACTCAGCCTGAAGTGTCTTTGCGGTTGGCGATGGCCAGTGCGGCTCAACTTCGCTTTGGGCATCAGCTCCTTCCTTCGATGGGCAGGCTGTGGCAGACAATGCCGAGCTTCTGCAGCGACCAGTATCTGCCATAGAGTCGCCGTCTTTGCATGTCCATGTTGTCCATGTCACAACTGCACGCCCAGGTTCTTGTGAAAGGCCGGCGCGCGGCCCTTGGCCAGGGGCCTGGCATGACACGCAGTGGGGCGTCGTCAGAAGCCGACAGCTTCACTGACAGACAGCGGAAGCATCGACAGAGGGCGCAAGTCCAGACCGGAAGTTCTGTCTTGGCCCCCCAGAACTGCAGGGTGTAAGTCAGAGGAAGCGGCTGAAGACCCACAATTGTCCACTGCCAGGCAGGCAAGCGGGTCAGAGCGCCGCTCGAGTTGCCCCCATTCTCCATCCCACTTTCGTAAGGAATTTAGTACCACGGCCACAAACCACACTTCAAACATGGATGTGGATGCACAGAGGGCACTGATCTACTATACTATTAGCAAGACCCCACCTTGATCTTGAACTGAGTGCTCGACTTTCCAGTCCACTTCCACGCTACATGTAGCTGTTTGCGCGGGTGTTCGAAATCATCCGACAGGGCATCTGGTACATCTGCCCTGGCACGCGTTGCGGGGACACAACAAACAGCTCTCCCATACCCAGAAGTCATTAATTATTTGCTTGCGCACGCTTTGACCATAATCTTGTTGTGCCGCCACCGTGTTCCACGGCTAAAACAACGACCAGAAGCAAAGCTGAAGATATCGAGACTGCTGGATTCATAAGGTACCAGTTACCATTTTGCACCGGTATGGCTTTATCTCTTTCTGCTTTCACGTCTTAGCCCAAGCCTTTGTCACGAGGTCCTTTTTGCCAACCTTAGAAGCAGAAGTAACCCGATTTAGGCACTGCCAAATCTTGTCAACCGTCCGGGATAGGTGAAGGTGGAGTGGTAGATTAAGCTATTTTGTGTTGCAACGGCTTTGTCAGACACAGAAGAGCTGGAAAGTTCATCCCGCGCAGGTGTCACACACATGTATGCTCAGATCAATTCGTTGGGGAAGGCTGATGTTGAATTGGTGCCCGATGCTTTCACGTTGCAACCCCATCGGCAACTTGCGGTTTGGCCATGCGCGTGAAATCTTGGCAATCAGCGGAGACTGGAGTCAACATCTCCGCGGACACCAAGAGAGCGTGTCATCAACGGCAGCCTGAGTCGACGACACGTGGTCTTGATCTGACAGAGGTTGCCATAAGCAAGTCGCAGTGGCAAACTCTAGAAGAAACAAAAGAGGGACTGTGGGGGCCAGATCGTGAACAGTTGCCGAGGCAATCTTTGGCAAGTTCAGACGTCAAGCAATAGGAAAGGCGTGGCATGGGCACTAATGTTGCCAGCCGGCGAAGCGGAACAAAACGACTCAGTTTCTGATTGCGCAGCCCATGTGTACAATAGTCGCACGTGCGGCAATGCATGCAAACATCTGAACTGAGAGCCTAAGGTCGTCCGTCTCCGGAGGATGCCATGAGATTGCTTTGAGCAGGGAGAAAAAGAGTAGCGCTCGGGCAAGGTGTGTGTCCACCCAAAGGCATCCACAGATATAACTCATCGTGCGTGCACCGCCTCCTGCATTCAATATGGCAGTCTTCTACGTCACAGGTCCCGGCGGATGAACGGTCAGAGCATGGTGCGACACAGGAGGCCTGACCAATCTGCGAGTGGCGTCGCCGTGAACTCGTCATACACTTTGGCCCTATCTTTGGTATCGTTGACAGTATTGAATCGCTGGGCTGATGACAACTGCAATTGCGAGCCCGTGTGGCGTGTGACGGAGGTGGGAGCGCGAGCAGCTTGGCAGCCCTTCACCTACACGGAGAAGGTGCAAACCTAAAAGCTGTCTTTTCCTCCATTCCTTCTCAGGGCTTCGGAACTGGTAAAGTCTTCAGGCAGTTCGACAGACTTTTCTGCAGAAGCATGTCGCCAGGTTTGCAGTGCCTATGTCTGGAGACGGCGTCGGCTTGGCCTTTTGCAGGCCAGTCTCCGTTTGCCTCGCAAGACTCCGGGTCCCAGAATCTTTCCCTCTGGGTCAGCCGTTACACAAACCTGAGCCTTAGCCGTAGCCTGAAGAGGTCACGAAATCATGAACGTCTGCTGCAACCCCGTCATAAGCAGGCGTCAGCTTCCTCTGCACAGGGTGCATCCAGCACATGAGCTCCGTGCAGGCCGAAGTCAGTACCGAGTCAGTCCTGGCCAGCTGCCATGAGTTCATGCGATGTCCATAGCAGCTCCCGGCTCGAGGTGGTGTCAGCACCTCCATGGCCAGCATGGCTAGGACCTAGATTCTTGGGCGCCCCAAGCATCCCCAAGCCAGAAAATCTAGGGCATCAAATGCAGAAAGGCCAGACAACCCATGAATGTGCCAAACAGTTCAGAGCAGCCTGGCAGATGGCACCTGTGACAGCGAAATCCGAGGCCGATTTGGTGGCAAAGGTTTGTTATGTCTGTGACTGCTCGCAGAACAACATGTCCGTGTAGTATGCTGTGGCGTGGACATGCTAGTCATCAAAGCCTGCCTTGCCTTGCATGAGCAGTTTGGGAATTTCGAAGGCATCCTGCCATGACGCACACGATCATGGACAAGCACTTGCATAGTTCGAAGCTGCAGCCTTGCCCCAGCCTGAAGAAGTGCCAAAGCGCAGCTTTTCGAAGGACATTCGCACCACCATCATCAGCATACTCCGACTCCGGCATCTCCAAAGAAAATGTTTCAACGGATGGCGCGGAACTTGTCGCGAGAAGAAGATGCAGACGGGGCGAGGCGGTCGAAGTTGGAGTCTTGGGTGCCAAGAGAGTGTCACAAGGATTTGCTGCATTTGCCTCAAGCCGCTCGACATCTAGCCCCGAAGAAGCATCGTCCTGGCTCAACGAGGAAGCGGAACTGAACCACTTGGAGCGAAGCCTTAGTCCTTAGGGCTAGTTCCACACGTCTTTGTGTGGGGTTCTTACTGTTGGGGCTCTCCCGCATCTCCTTGTCCTCCTCCTCCTCATCATCATCATCACCCACACTCACTCACCACATCACTCACTCACCACTGACTCACGCACGCACCACTCACACACTCACTCACCACGTCACGCTTCACTCACGCACTCACACTCCGGAAGACTGTACATGCGACTAAACGCCCTCTCTAGAGCCTTCTGTTGGATGCTCCGCGCGCATCGGGGCGACCACCCTCCGCAGCCATTTCGTGTTCATGTTCAGCTAAGCCTGGAGAGTCCTGCAGCCATTTCGTGTTCAGATCAGCATCTGCCAGGCTGCCAGGAATCTGCAAGGCGTTGAGCCCTGACAGCATGTGCGTCCCTGTTCGTGTGGCGATGACGAGAACCACGCGGTCGGTCGTGGTCCCAGCGATCCAGGGCACTGCCACGCTTCCGATGTGATCTGGAGTCGCCGCCACATGGGATGAGCCGCCATTGACATCCGGGTCAACGAATCGGCTAACGGTTAATTCAAACTTGTCCTGCATCACCATGACATGAGCTACCTGCGAGTGGGATGCTTGCTTGCTTTTGAGCTCCCGCAGCTGCACGCCGCACAGCTCGCACTCACTCACTCACTCACTAACTCACATGTACGCACACATTCGTTCACTCGCTTGCTCACTCACTCACTCGCTCACTCGCTTACTCCTTCACTCACTCACTCACTCGTTCACTCGTCTTCACTTCTAACATCTTTGCCAAAAGCTGAGATCACATGCGGGGTTATCCGGTCCTTTAATGCTTTGTTACTGTTCTTCTGCCAACTTAGTAATTGGCTTGAGTTTGTGCTTTTCGAATGACATGCTGCCAAGGACGATGCAAAAATCGGCGCAAGCAAGGCTCTCCGGATCCTGGACAAGATGCAGGACCGGTGTTTCCCGTTTGCAAGCTCTTGCTTCATAAGCGCCAAGGGGGGCCGAGTGAGTGTGTGCTGGGCGTCCGCCGAAGCCAAGGTTGGTGCGTCACCGGTGCAGACCATGGAGAACTTAGTATCCAAAACGATTCGGTTTATGGCGCAGCAGTTGTGACTCGTCAGATGTATGACGATCAGCAAAAGGTTGTGTTGTTAGACTCTACCGTCAGATGAGTTTCTGGTATATAATGGGACAGGTCTTGCCACAAGTTGCACGAAGTTGCGAGTGGCCTGGAACTCTGATCGCAGCTGCCTGTCTCAAGTTTATCCAGCCACGGGATGTCAGCATTCTGCCATACTCCGACTTGTCCCTTCTTCTGCATAACTGTCTCACTCGCTCTCTCGCTCTGGCTCGTGCAATGCGTGATACTGTGGAGCCCCGAGGCAGTCAGCCGAACGTATTTCTATACCTTCCTGAATTTCGCGCTACAGGTGGGCTGATTTCTTCCACGGTCATGAAGCGACGTGAGCATGCGCGCAGTTTTCATGCTCGAGCCACGCAGCCGTTAATTGCTAGTGGCCGCTGTCCGTTTACTTGTCATGCTGGTCGTAATGTTACAGTCAAAAGGGGTCAGTGACGTGAACCGTCGTGTCCTCAAGAGCATTCTGCAGCTGCTATAAATATAAATTTCAACTCACGGCAAGCATGCGGCGAAACGTGCTCAATTGTTTCTGACACCAATACGATCCGATGCGCTGTTAAGTGCTCCTATGCATCGTATTCTGTTTATGTGTGGCAGAGGCTTTCCTGCTCAGCATGGTTGCCGAAGAGCAGCATTTCTGGCATCTCGACAAAAATTGGCGGAAGAACCTGGTTTCCCGGTTCTTCCCCCAGCCTCCAAGTGGCCTCATTTCTGCCGTTAGGCGCATGAAATCGCACAGCCGGGACGGGTAGTTCACGTGAAGCACAAGCTTCGATAATTTTCGCACGCACTCAAGCCATCAGCTCCCGCTGCACTCAGGTACCCGTTCGCTGGACAAATGCACTTGTGCAATTACGGTGCATCTATGCAGGATTGCGGATTGTGACTGCCCCCTCATGCTGTTTTGGCAGCGGCCACCTTCTCGTCCTTGTCTTGTCTCGTCAAGCCTTTCATTCTCGACTTGCCAGTCTCCCAGCCAGGACTGTCCTGGTGCTCCAAACTGCGTGGGGCCTGGAGGAACGGCGCTGTCCTACCCCAGGCTTTACGACTATGCGCCGTGCTTGGCCGAATCGAATCGCCTGTCTACGCACGCACGCGTTCTCCCTGGCAAGCGCCTTCGCATAGACCCAGGACATTTGGAGCACAAGAACTTTCCTTAAGCAGAGCATGCAGGTGCGACGGGCGACGCCCGGCCCAGCCTTGGCCTCGCCTTGAGCATGAATGTAGCACCGCTATAAAGGCTGTCCTTCATCTCGTTCCGGAGAGCATCGACCACGTGGACGCTGGAGAGTCTGCGGCTTATCCTGCTTTCTTGCGAATAGAATCGACACTTCATCTGCAAAATTAAATCCGAAATTAGTCTGCTACAAAGCAGTTCGAAATGCTTCCTTCTCACCAGGTATGGGATGGAAAATTTCAACTGCCGATGCTTGGTTGAGTTTATGTGCACACGAGCAGGCAAGCAGGTCCAGAGTCCAGCAAGTGTCAGGTTTGCTCGCTTCGTTCGCTCGTTCGATTGTGGCTTGCTGAGACCTTTGAGACTTGAGGCTGCCTCTGCATTTTCCTTTTCATGCTCGCTGTCGTGGACGACCTAGAAGACAATATGAACTTGACCAGGACATGCACCAGTGGTGTGAGCCAAGTACTCAAATCTCACATGTCCGAGTTAATCCAATTTTGAAGTGCAGGCGAACTAGAAGCCAACATTCATATCAGTTCTGTCATTCACAGCCAGCATCCCAGACTCTCATGCAGTAGTATGACCTCCCGACTACCAGCTCCTATTCGGTAGCCAGCTAGTCAAGCAGACTCTCATATGCACACAGGACTTTGGCGATGGTTCCAACGAGCAATGAGAGTTGGATCGCCTTTGACGTTCCCGATTGGGGTAGCAAGGAGGATGTGAAGTGACTCGACTGAGAGGTTCTGGCATGCTTTCCCTGCTTCTCGACCGTGCGACAAGCATGAGACCAAGCTGATGCACAATGATGCCTGCGAAAGCAGGAGTCTTGGCAGGATTGTGCCTGCAGAAGCTTGGGGGAAGGAGTGCGCAGGTTGCCCCCTCGTTGACATGGACTGCATTGAAGCGCTTGGACGTCGTTTGACGCCTCGCGTCTGTCGAAGCAGCAAGATGGACAGGCCCGTGTTTCCGGACTGTCCCGCGGACCTTTGACTTTCGTAGCACGAACACACAGACCTCAGAGTCTGTTCACATGCTGGATGGCCCTACATCAGTTGACATGAAGGTGCGGAAAGTGCCGTATACATGTCTTGCCTGGCACTCACTGCATGCAGCGTTGTTGATGGTTTCGGGTTCAAGCACTTGGCAGGGACTTCGACTTGACTCATGTCTCCAGTGTCGCCGATGTGAGTGAGCATTGTGGCTCATGCTGCCAAATTCACTCAAGCTTCTCCAACCCAGGGCACTGCACGAGTCGGAGGAGAAGGACTTCATTCGCTACGAAGTCTCGGGAATGCCGCTGCATTGGAAGTTATTCAACGCCCTTCAGATGCAACGTGCTGTTGTGAAACCGGAAGTAAGCCGTAGACTGCTCATGCTGGTTGTTACAATTGTGGCTGGTCCGATCGCACCTTGAAGTTTGTTTGCAAGGAATCTGCAACTACGCTGCGACGCCTAACTGCCCAAGTGCAATTAAGGCGTGCTTTATCCTCTTGCCCAAGATCCTGCTCTGGCTGGCATTGGTCCGCTCCGGTGTTCATTACCTGATGGAGACTGCCGGGATCGTTGATGTGGTGGTCAATGCGATGGCGTTAACCTTTATCTTGCAAGTTGCTTGACGAAGAAGGTCCAGCAGTGTTGCATGCACGGCCCATGCCATGTCGCTGAGGTGGATGAGATCGTTTTCCAAAGGTTATGCTCAACCGTGACCAAGGACATCATGTGACTCGCTCTGAATGGCCCGCAGCTCTCAAGACAGCCCAAGCATACCGAGCCATCGTCTTGCAATCGCCCCAGGCCCCATACCGTTGCGATCTGCTTCCTTGCTCCCTTGGTCACCTCGTAAGGTCGAAGCTGGACCCAAAAGCCATGTACAACTTGAGCGAGGCCCTTTTTCGGGCAATGGGGCATGGGACACCCGGGCACTCCAGCCTTTTGGGAGAGGTCGACACGGAAACTGACGCGGAAGCCCTGGCCTACTTCAACGAGGTGGAGCTGAAGAGAGGTTGGAAAAGCGCCTTGTCGGCCTTGACTCGCTGCACCAGCTCCGGTCCACAAAGCAACACTTGGCAGAAGTCCTGTCCATGCGCTCTGACTTGATGCCATACCCATACCACATGTCGGGACTGCAAGTCGCGAAAGCTGGGCACAGCAAGCAGCCGTGATGATACAAAGTGCTGGTCCTGCCCGCGGCCGACGGCTTTGCAGGTGTCATTTTCAAGATCTTCCCGATGAGGATGCTGAGTCCTGAGACAGTGTGAACGGATTTTCCGGAGATGTGTCGTCAGTCATGCTTGCTGGTCACTGCCTACTGGTTCAGTTTCAGCAGTCAGCTGCAGCTCAGGTTCATCATCATCCTTTGCCAATGCTTGTTCCTGCATCTTGGATGCTGCATTGAAGTTGGATTCAATCTACAACTCGAGCAATGCCCGTGATGTGCAAGTCCCGGATCCGGTATGTCTCAGGTTGGACTATTACATCTCCAACTGCGAAAAGCTCAAGGATGGCAGCTGGGTTTCCAAGGCGAGGCCTGTCCTGAGCATCAGCGGTGGGTCATCTTGGGCGAGTGGAGTTGCGCAGGATATGCACCTGCCTGCGGACATGGCCTACAACCCGCTGTCCTTGATGTTCGGAATGGTTAGAGCGTCTCGCCTCAGAAGCTTGAGAGCCTTCCGGTCAGACGTCAAGAGCATGATCAAGTTCTTGCGACAAGGAGCAAGACGCAGCTTACTGGACGATGCCGAAGTCGTGAGATCCGGCAATGTACATAGCACCAGAAAGCCAGCCCGGAGGCTCACAAAGTTGAGTCAAAGCCCATATCTCAAGGCGAGCGAGACTCTTTCGTGCTTCCTGAAATGTAGAAGCACTGAGCTTTTCCATGATTGGAAAGAAGCTTCCATACTCGCGCCCGTCTCTATAGAAAGGATTGCTGTGAATACGCTGCAACGTCGGACTGTTTGCAGTAGGAATGTCTTGCTTGTCCACTGCTGAACTGGTGCAGGCTCACGCAGCGACGCCCGCACTTGCCGTCTGCTTGTACAAAGCTTCGCAAAAATAGACCTTAGAGAGGCTGTGAGCGCGAGGCTAGCATCGCTGCCAGCTTGCAAACGAGATGTAACCAAGACATGGTCACCGACACCTGCGTTCGAAATCTGCTCCGCTTCCGCTATCCCGAGGAGAAGACGCCAGCACCCGGGTCGAATAGCAACGTGGAGCCAAAGGCAGGCAAGTGAGTTGCAGAGCTCCTAGTACTCAACATGTGGGTCCGACAGGGCTTCTTGGCGTTTTAAGGATCAGTCGGCCCTTGTTGGTACAGGCACTTGTGCACCCCTTTCGGATGCGACAATGCTTCCGACGGTTTAGCACTTCATTCGCCCATGAACTGATAACTGCAAGGAAACGTGTCATGCATCTTGCATCATGGTATGCGACTTCTCCTATTCTGCTCTTCGCGATCCACAACTCGACCATACCCGACCGCTGAACTGCGATTCTTTCGGTTCTACGTTTGAAGACTACTTTGGAACGCAAATCACAGGCGACTTCGGGCAGCTGCATGCAAAAATTGTCCAGCACGCTCGCGCACACCCGAACAGGGCAAGACCACTTTTCCTCGACCAGTCTCACCAAGCCCAAGACGAGAGAGCTTGGTCGTTGCAGGTGCAGGGCTGCATTCCGAGTTAGCAAGGAGAGACCCGAGAGAAAAGGAAAGATGGATGTGCCTTTTTCGGGATGGGTGCAGTGGAGTGGGAGATAAGGCACAATTCGGTCCACTCACCTGCCGAGATTCGTGCTAGCTGCACCAGCGTCCATACACGGCGAAGCGTTGCGCCTTCAAGCAAAGCCAGCATGCCAAACGGTTGTGTCTGTCTCCGTGCAGACCCTGGACAACATCGGAAGAAGAAAGCACTGCCGTCGCCTCCTTGCGGACAGGATTGTGTCGCCGAGGCAGGTTTGACGTTCTTGTGCAGCCTTACACAGCGAATTGTGTGCATGCCATCCCTCCCGCCACCCTTGCACCTGATCATTCATTTGTTTGGCGCAGGGCCAAGCTCGACATGTTTCCCCATGCAGCTTGGCTCACATGTGAGGTGTAGCCAACTACACTTGTAGCTTGCGCTTGTTGTGTTGGAAGAGAGAAGCACCTGTGCTTTGCGAAGATCTAAGGTTTGAGCCAATTTCCTGAGCCCCGGTTCATTTCGCACTTCGGAGCAGCGAGTGCCAGGCCATTTGGAGATGTTAGCTGCTAGTGGTAGCAAGGATTTCGACAAAGGATCTCGGAGCCCGAAGTGCGCTTCTTAGCTTACATTGTTATTCGCTGGCCGCAGACAGTCCCCCGATTGGGGCTTGCAGCAGCCAAGTAGTTGTAGGGAAGTTTTGCAGCACGATGACTTGCGAGCGTCTGGAAACCATAACAAATCAGATAATACAGAATGATATCGCAAGGGATCTGTGCGCGCAATAGCTGGCGAAGAGCACAGCAGATGCGAACGTGGCAGGTGCAAAAGCGCCTGCCTGATTCAGGTGCGAGAGAACTCAATATTGAATATTGACATTAGACCGCAGCATTGAAGCAGGAAGGTGTCTGGCAACGAGGCTGGCGGCAAGGACGCGACATTAAGATAAGGGCATACCTGTCACGTAGCTATCACATGGCCGAAGTGTGCTACAGAAGTCAAAGCTGTCATCGCTTCCATGCAGATGCCGGGAGTAATCGAGAAGATTCTCTGCACCTCCTGCAGTATCACGACGCAGAGCGACGGGAATACTGGAATGGGCCCGGGTTTTCCGAGCCAAGGCGACAGGGCTGAAGCACTTCCGGAACTAGAGCCGGTATTGTAGTGCTGCCACCGCCGATGACCGGAGCATGCAAACATGAATGCCCGCTCCATTGTTTCACAGAGTCACGTGAGGTGATCGATCATGGTTTGTAAAGCGGCCTGCGTCTGCAACTGATGTGGCCTAGCTCCGACAGCATGGTGCCACAATGCAGCATACTTTAACAGACACAGAACATCCCACCAGCCTGTTTGTCACTTCCGCTCCAGCACAGCTCCAGGATTGTTGGCAAGTCCTCCACCATTGATCTGCCGGCTCGCAAGAAGTGAGGCGTGTAGAACAATAGAAGTACATCTACTGGGACTGTCGAAGGCAACATGCGCACAGTAACATTGCCCTCAAGCCGAAGTACTTCCTCGTCGATGCAGTGCCACAGCGAACCATTCTATCCATTCCAAGCCCTAGGCAGTATGCAGCGCGAAAAACTAGACTCGACCCATTTATGAGGGCCAAGCCTGTGTGCCCCTGGATGGTGAGCAGCAGCCATGGTCAACCCCCGCCAAGCAAGCTGCCTTGAGTGCGCAGTCGGTAGGAGCTTGCCAGAAGGTATCGGCGAAGTGATATCGATATGAGTTTGTTCTCTACGAGGGCAGCGTTGGGCCGCGCCTTTTGTGCACTCCGCAGATCTTCGGGCTTAGTTGCACCAGAGACTCTCCACATGAGACACGAGCGACCTCGAACATCAACAGAGACTAGCATTGCCTCGTGGTGCAATTTTTGCAAACCCTGCAACAGGCTAATTGACTTGAGAGTCAGACAGAAAGAACAAAACACCAGCAGCAGTCAGCAGCACGCCGCTTCCAGCAATGCATCAGGAGCCAGCCAGCCTCCATGCCAGGGCTGCAAACATTTTACGGCTACCCTTCGAGTTCCCGAACTTTGAAATATCTTGCACAAGCTTGCAGCAATTGCACATCCCATGCCATCTTGCAGCTCCCCCCAAGCCAAGGTTTGCAGCATGTCTAGCTGCTGAGATCCTCGCCTTTCTGGCTCATCGCCTTGAGGCCTCTCTTTGCTACACCTCAGTTGCGTCTCTGCCTACCCTGGTCCAGGCAAGCGACATGGAAAAGAAAAGTGGTGCACGAGAGGTGCTGGATTCTTCTGTCACGGGTGTTGCTTCATCAACTAAACTAATTAGCCTGGCTTGTGCAGTCTGCCAAAGCGAGGAGCTAAACCGCAGCTCGTGATTGTGATCCTCTACCAAACTCCGTCTAACTGACGAGAGCACTGCCCAGACACAAGCTGCAGGCTTTGTTGCACTTGAGTGCATCTGCGCCCCTTCTGGCGCTTGGTCTAGCGCTGAGACCGCCGCTCGGCCTTAGTGATCTTGCCACCTTCGCAATGGAGATTCTTTCAACTCCCGCGCAGCCGGACATGAATTTCCTTGGCACTTCTATCCCGCCCAAGGCTTCCTATCTTCAGGCCATCGGTTTTCGCAACCTGATCAGGTTCTTGCCGGCTTTTCAGCAGTCCATCGCGGAGCAGGCATTGCATGCACGGAGACACACAGGGGTTTATTTCAAGTTGCCGGCTGTGTTTCCGAAAGTTGTTGCACAGACTGTGACGCCGCCATGTCGTGAACAGAACACGAGAGGAACAAAGTCCGACAAGGTTTTTCTTTTGCAGTGATGTTTGGCTTAAAGGGTTGTAGGCCATCCAAAACAAATGCAGCATCCCATCCGGCCCCAGCATATCCTGGTGTTCCACACCTTGTCCCATGTCTTGCCGCATCTTGTTCAGGCGAAATCAGGGCGGGAAAGCTTTTGGGCTTCCTACGATTCGCAGGCGCAGCTTGTGCTCGTGGTGTTATCTTCGCTGTGCGTGCAGCAGCTGTTCCCCCGCAGCCACTGCCTCGCCCAAGCGCAATTCCAGTTTGGAGTCCCGCACTTAACAGCACTCCTTGCGATGGGTTGGGGTGGCTACGGCAAGGGCGGGTATGGCTGGGGCTTCCCGCCCATGATGATGGGTTATGGCAAGGGCAAAGGCAAAGGACTTCGCGGCTTCTCGAACGAGAAGAAGGTTTGGATCGGGGGCTTTGAAGCTGGCGAGACAGATATTGAGAAAAACAAGAAGCTCAAGGAGCACATGTCCCAAGGCGGCCTCGAGTGCGTCTTCGCCGAAATTAACAAGAACGGCATCGCCGGTGCAGCATACAAGACGCCTGAGGATGTGCAGAAGGCAGTGGCAAGTCTCAACGGCTCGCTTTTCGAGGGCGTCCAGATCCAAGTCGACATTTGGCAGAAACCCGCATCCGAGCCTCAAGCTTAAGCCATGTCCCGGAGGCCACGCGGCCACGCCCGATATCTGTTCGATTAGTTCGCTAGTTCGCTAGCACTGGATTTTGGCGCAGCTCCGCTGGCATTTTAAAAATGTCTTGCACTGCGCCACCATGCTGCATCCAAGTCCGAAGCTTTCCGCTTCCAGTTGCTTGCCTCGTCAAACTAGCTTTTGTCACTGTGTGACTTCTGTCGGAAGGCCCGAGATGCGGCTCAGCTCATGCAGAAGGAGACTCCAGCACCAGATAAGTGCAGCACCAAAGGAAGGCAGCAAGGGGCTTGTGGCTGGTTTTGCAGGCTGGCTTGGCATGGCGGTGGCTGCGACGCCGAGTGCAGCCGCCTGGACAACCGAGATTGTTAGTGCATGTCAGGGTCACATTGACATAGAGGTGGAAGACCTGTGAAGACCAAGGTTGCTGAAAGCCACTGATTGGCGAAGCTGCCGGCAGATGCCATCCGGCTGAACAATCACAAGCTATCGCATCAGAATGCTGACAGCGGCATTCATGTGGTGTGCATCAGAAGCAGCATTGCACGAGTTGTCAGGCTGGTCGACAGCAACTTGGTTTTGCAATGGGTGTGCGGGCATGGGCTGCAAGAACGAAGACAGAGTTTCGAGCACATACATACAGAAAAAAGGAAAAAGCACAGACTGAGCAGAGAAAGCGGGATTCTGCGGGCAGAGCATAAAACTTCGGGCCATCTTTCCTCGCCGAGGCTTTCATCAACTTGCTGCTGGGCTGTCTTCATTGAGACCTGGTGCGAACCAGGACGATGCTGCCGTTTCGGCTGAACTGCTCAAACCACACTGGATTGCAGCTTTCGCGCATCTTGAACTTGTCGAAAGGCTCTGAAGAGCACCCTGGACGATGTCACGCGCGAATGTGACGATGCGAAAGCCTTGTTTCAGGCATTCCGAGCTCCCGAAACGCCAAGTCATGGGACACGCATCTGGAGCACTTCCCCAACCCAATGCAAGTCGACTGTTTCCAGTTCCAAGCCCCTCCATGCACCGCACTTTCGCAGACTCCAGGTTTGTAGGAACAGCAGTATGGTGATGTCACGTGCTCGCCTGTCTCATCCAAGGGAGACGCTGTCCGTTCCTCGCACTTGTGCAATAGAAATCCAGGGCGCTACAAGGAAGTCTTTTGGTTAGCCCATCGGGTACAATAATAATATGAGGGAGTGCAGCGGGTGCTGCTCATGTGGATCGGTCACACGTGCATAATCTGGCCTTATGGCCAGTGATGCAAGCATTGTCGTGCAGAACACGTGTGTTCGTAGTGACAAGTGTAGCGAGAACTTTCCGAAGAGAAGCCTTCGCTGTTCGCAACAAGAAGGCCCGAGGAAAGGACGAGCGAGCTAGCCTTTTTCGCTTTTTCGAAAGCAGAGCGCCATGGCTGGCTCATGGGGAGACTCGACCACCGGGTCGCAGGTGGACCTTTGGGCAGCCCTGTTCACGGTCGTTCACTCGACGGATGAAGACCGGCGCCCACTGATGCAGAGGTTTGACCTCGATGACTTGGTTCGCCTGCGACGAGCTGTCCAGCTCGCCATCGACGAGCAGGTCGAGCACAGCCTGGATGAGGCTGACGCTGCGGCCGCCAAGGCTGCCAGCGTGCCGTCAGTGGTCGCGCCGTCCGACGCTGGCACACACAGTTCGACCGCGGCCAGTTCGTCTACCGGTGCGGTCGCAAGCACAGCTGTGATGACACCCACAGCTTCGGTTGCCACCCCTGCAGCGGCAAATTCGACGACGGTGACTTCGACTGGTCAGGCGCCAGGGGTCGCAACTATGACGGCCACCAAGAAGGCAGGTTCGCCGCCAGCAAAGGACCCCACGACAGGGCCGCCGCCGCAGCTCCTCGTGCCCAAGACCATGTCCACGGAAGCCAAGGCCTTCAGGAAAGCAGACCCTCCGCCACTGGTCGTGACAGCAAAGGCTGACCCGCTTCCTTCGAGCAAAAAGGGAAAGGGTCGCGGTGTCCAAGCAAAGCCGACCTCCCCTCCGGCGAAGGCGACGCAGGTCACAGTGAAGGCCACGCCAGTACAGGTCGCCGCGCTGTTCGCGGGCACGGTGGCGCCACAGACAGGTGAGGACGCCATCAGCATGTTGCAAGCGGCGCAGGCGGCAGTGATCCCGCTGGTGCCTACGGTGGACGCGTCCCAGGTCGCAGTCATCGACCTGAACACCATGGACGACGACTTGCAAGATGACCCCCCGCTGCCGCCGCCCTCTACCAGACCGACGGGGCCGCCGCCGAGCAAGCCGATGCCGCAACAGCCACCAGCAGCTCCGCCACAGGTCGCGCCCGAGCCGGCCAAGGCGACTACACCGGCTCCGACCCCGACACCGGCGAGTGCTACCACAGTTCGCCTGCGGGACCTCAGCCAGGACCGAGTGATGGTGCACCCCCTCCCCAGCCTTCCTTTCCGACAGGTTCGCAGGGGAGAAGGTCGCAGCGAGGTCGCGCAGCGGTCGGCCGGCCTAGCCTCTCAGAGGCGCTGGCGCAGGGGCCACCAGGCCCGATCCGTGCGCCACAGTACGCCCCGGCCGGCTTACCTGCACCATGGCGCAGCGTGATGTGGAGTCGGGCGTCACTTTTCGTGAGGAGCCCCCTCCTTTTACAGATGTCTCTAGCGTTTGTAATGTTCGCTGCCCGTCATGCTGGATGCGAGCATGTCCGCGAGTGAATCGCCCGGGCTACAGGCGGGTGCACGAGCACCACTTTTGTGGCTTTTGCCACACCGAAGCCAAGCGTTCGGACCCGAGCAGGACATAGTCTGTTCGCATGCTGCCGCAGCCCCAGAGTGTTACAACCTAGTCGCTAAGTTCACGTTAGTGTCAGGGCGTTTTTGCAGCATGTTCGGGACGATCGCCCTCGGGCTTACGACCCTTCGGGGACAGACCGTTGCTGTTCGCAGCCAAAAGAAGGTCAGAGTGCTTCGCAGTCGGGACAGTCATGCCGCAGTTCGCTTGCCTCCGGAAGGTCGCAATAGGTCCCAGGCAGGCAGACATGTCGGGCAGGTCGTGCAAGGCACCAGGCAGGCAGTCATGTCCTGCAGGTCGTGCAAGGTACCAGGTCGACAGTCATGTCGGGAAGGTCGTGCAAGGTATGAGGCAGGCAGTCATGTCGGTTAGGTCGCTCTAGGTTCGCGGTAGGCGCTCCGCTCTGGAAGGTCATGCAAGGTCGCAGGTAGGCAGTCTAGCTCGGATGCCTCGCTAAGTTGCTGCTAGACACTACGGTCTACAGGTCGGCAGTTCGGCATAGCACTCCTGTAGGTTAGGGTACGCAAAGGGCCCCACGAGGCCGCGAGTGATCACGGTCGCAGTTACACGAGTGCTTGGCCTAGGTACACTACCGTCGGAACACGGTTCAAGCCAGGTACTTTCCCCCTAGCAGCATGTACCACATACAGTGCCCACATGACCGGTCGTCGTTCGCGAGTTTGGTACACATTCTGGCTAGCCTCGACCTACACGGCGCTCTCGAGCCTCTCCGTTCCCACGGGATTCGGTCCGCAGAAAACCTGGAGAACACCCCTAAAGCCCAGCTCCGGTCTTGGATCGGCGACCCTGCTATCGACAAACTTTTCAATCGGTCGGTGGCCAGGCCAAGGACCCGTTCGGATGCCCCAGTTGTGCACCCATATCAGCGGGGTTCGCGAGTCGTGGCCGCGGCCGTTCAAGGCGAGACCGCCTTGGAACAAGCAGACAAAGCCTTTCAGGAGGACAAGTTCGCAAGGAGCTCGAGGGGCCCTCGGGAATCCCGCTGGAAGCTATGGTGCTCCCTGGCGGAACAGAGAGGCCTTCCCCCTCTGCCGATTACAGTCGACCTTATTGATAAGATCGGGGCACTTTTCAAGCAGGCGCGATACAGGTCGGCAGCGCAGTACTACAGTGTCGCGAAGTCCGAGCACAGGGCACAAGGTTACGAGTGGTCGCCTTCGTTGGACCACGCGGTTGCGCAGGCTGTTCGCTCAATCACCAGAGGCATGGGCCCTTCGGCAGCCAAGCTTGATTTTCCCCTGGAGTCCTGTTCGAGGAGCCTCGAATTGGACATCGAACGGGCGTACGTGTCCCTTCAGGTGCCCACGGGGTCGAGAATCGAAGCCCCGGCCGACACCGGCATCGTGGCAGCATGGTTCCTTCTCCGGGGCCTTGAGATTTCCTCCGTCGTGTGTGAAGACGTTAGTTTCTCAAAAGAAGGACTGGTTAAGCTGTCGCTGCCAGTGTCAAAGAATGATGCAGCAGCCCGCGGGTGTTCGAGGACTCATGCGTGCATATGTTCGCGCCAACATGACCCAGGCTGCAACAAGTCAGGCGACGAGGCCTTGCTTTTTACTCCTTTGCAACAGTGCTCCTGTTCGCTGGGGCGTCACCCCTTGTGCCCCTACCACGCGGCGTTGCGCTGTGCAATCAGACTTCGCAAAGCAGGTCGCTGGGAGCCTAAAGCGCCGTTCTTTGGCGATGGAGAGGGCCCCCCTACCAAAGCACAGGTGGTTTGGCTGGCTAGAGTGTTCGCTTGGGTTCTCTGCGAAGGCGACCTCAGAGACTGGCCGAGACAGGTCGTGCAGCGCTGGGCCCAACATGCATTCAGGGTGGCGGGCGCCCAACTGTTCGCTCGAGCAGACCTCGATCTACACGTCATTATGCTCATTGGTCGCTGGGGCAGTGCAGCGATTTGTCGCTACGTTCAAGAGGCAGCCTTGGCCAACCCAGCTAGAGCGGCACAAGCTGTCGCAGATCGCACCTCAGTCCTTCCCTCGAGTTCGCAGACACCCCGCTCCTCTCGACTTGCACTACTCCCAGCCGCCCTTGACCAGGTTCGCGCGGTGGTTGCCGACTGCTTCAGAGGACAAGGGGTTCTTGTACATAACGTTCGCTCTAAGCTCGCGCACAAGCCGTGCAACACAGAGTGTTCGTCGCCCTCGGGCGATTGGAGATCCGCATGCGGTTTGTGGAAGTACGGAAAGGCCAGTTGTCAGCGGAACCCCACCTTGCTGCCAGGCTTTCGATACTGTCCAGTCTGTTTTCCTGAAGAGAGTTCGGTTTCAGCACTGGTCGCATCCAGGAATCAGTCCCACGAAGATTCAGGCTCATCCTCCTCCTCGTCTTGAGGTAGCCAAGGCCATGGTCGCGCCAGTGCCGTTTCAGACTTTGTGTGATCAGGCAGCCGTCCACCCGACAGTGAGGCTCCTCTTCAAGGCAAAAGGAGTCGACGTCCCCGGCGTCCTGCACCACCTGTTCGCTGACAGAGACAAGGTGGCCGCCTTCCTCGACCCACTTCGCGCGGGCATCGAGATCGATGGCACTACCAGACGCAGGTCCGCGGAGGAGCTCTTGATCGATCAGGCCACGATCTTGGAGTTGCTCGACGTCATCGCTGCCAGCAAGGCCGCAGCAGCCCCGGCCTCAGCTCCGACGCCGGCCGCAACCACAGCGTCGGCAGGTTCGTCAGAAAAGTCGCAGGAACTGCCGGCCGGCTACTGGAACGACTTCGTGACGGATTACGAATCCACAGTGGTCGACGGGAGGAACCGCAGGTTCCCGGCACACTTGCTCCTGGGGGCAGAGAAGACACTTGGCCGCATGGTCGCCGAGAAAAAGTCCGGCCTGTTCACTGCCCTACCCCTGGGAGAGGTCTTGTTTTCGCGCCACTACCTCGTCAAGACAGGTGAACCCGTTCTCCGCCGCAACAAAACCTGAGATGTCGACCAAGCTGTTCGCGGCAGAAGACGGCACCTTGGCCAAGGTGACTCGAGGGATACCCGAGCCGCAGCGCATGGTCACCATGATCGACGCATTCGAGGCCTGCAAGTTCGCGTTTATGTTCGCTCGTTGGGGGCCGAACGCCGAGGTCTCTGACTACTTCGACTTCTGGGAGGACCTCACCCGCGACAACGCCAGCAGGTTTCGCCCAGATACGCCAGTTTTGGAAGAAGGCGTCGTGGGAAATGGCCATGGCTCTGCGCTCAGGGAAGACGTTCTCACAGGCCGCGGCGGAGGTGACCAGCCCGCAGGCCAAACAAGACGCGATGAGCAGGTGGGCCCCTCCCGACCGGCCCACCAAAGGCAACGAGAAAGGAGGAGAGAAAGGCGAGAAGGGCCCCGGCAAAGGCAAAGGCAAGGGCAAGTTCGGCCGCCCCTCGCCTTACTGGTCGCAGCAGGGACAGCAGCACCAACAGCAGACGTGGTCGCAAAACCAACAGAGCACCGGACGCCCCCAGTGTAGACTGTTTGCAGCAGGCTACTGCAGGTTCGGAGCGAGCTGCAAGTTCGCACACGGGAACCCCAACCAGCAACAAGGGGCAGTCCCCCCGCCACCGTCCGCCTAGGGACAGCTCGGATCGCCTCAGCCGTCGGGGGCGACACCCGATACCAACACAGACGGTAATTCCACCCCTCTCAGCCCTAAGACCCTAGTCCCATAACCCGTGTGCTCCGCCTTTGGCGCCCGTACCCGTAATTCCTGCCAGCAGGTTAGGTTCGCAGGTGCCGAGTCGTGGCAGCAACCAGGTTCAGGCACTGCCGCCGCAGCCGGCGTCCACCCCGGACACGAGCAAAGCACGGTGCAAGGGCACGGCGTCCGAGCTTCCGATAGCTCCGCCACCACAATTTCCGCCACCTCCTCCACTCCCAGGTCGCACCAGAGGTAAAGGTACAGGTGAACCCGACCTAAGGATCCGCACACCGGTCGTTCTTACTCCCAACTCTGCAACCCAGGCGTCGATGTCTCACGTGACTCCGCCTCTGCCACCCGTGCAACACGCGTCGCAGCCTCAGGTGGCTCCGCGTTCTAACCTCTCCCGACAGGCGTCGCAGCCTCATGTGGCTCCGCCTGGAACCGGACCGCAGCCTCTGGCCACCCCAGTGCCACCACAGTCACAGCAACCTCGCTTCCCGGTCGCAGTTCTCAGCTTCTTTGACGGTATAGCCACTGCTCTGCACGCCATTAAGAGCTGGGCTATACGGCCGGTGCTTTCATGGTCTTGGGAACTCGACCCAGATGCCATCAAGGTCGCTTCATCTCAACACCCAGAGATGATTCACCACGGCGACGTCTTTGGCCGCAAACCTCACGATGTTTTGGCTGCCTTGTCTGCCTCAGTTCCCAAAGACACCGTGGTCTTAGTGTTCGCAGCCCCTCCGTGTCACGACTTTTCCCGGATCCGGAGCGATCCACCAGGTACGCACGGGCACGAAGGCTCTAAGTTCGTTCGGTTCGCTAGTTGGCTTAAACAGTTTAGTCAAGCCTCCAGTTTTAGGGTACTGTTCCTGGTCGAGAACGTACACATGTCCGCCTCACAGCAACGAGAACTGGACGATGCCCTCGGGTGTCGTGCGTTCGCTTGCGATGCTGCCAGCTGGGGTGTTGTGTCTCGACCGAGACTTTGGTGGTCGAACGTGGTCAACCCACCTCCAGAGAATGTTCGCGAACCGCCAGTCATCCTAGGAGGTCAGGCCAGGTGGCGGCGACTCAACAGACACTGGGAGATCTTACCCAACAGCACCCTCTTCCCCCGACAGGTCGCGCAATCCTGTCCCTTCGCGTCCTTCAGCGAAGAAGTCAGCTCAGGTCGCATTAGGTTTCCTTGCTTGACGACACCGGCAGAAGGGACACAGGGTCGCGAACCTCCAGGCAAGAAACGCCGCTCTGAGAGCCCGGGAACCATGGAGCGCTGGAAATCAGCCAACCGCTCTTACCCTCCGTGGCAGTTCCGCACACACGCCTTGGTGCAGGTCGCCGGTAAGAAGGACTTGCCAGACCCAGCCACACGTGAGTGGCTCCAGCTTCTCCCAAGCGGGTACACAGCGTCCGTGTCGCCTCAAGCCAGAGCGAGGTTGCTCGGTAACGCTTGGCACGCCGGAGTAGCCAGACTCCTCGTGCTCCTGGTGTTGTGTCAGGCCGGAGTCGTTGACGCACACCCCGTTCGTGCCGAAGAGTGGTACGCTACAGTGCCAGACCCGTGCTTCCAGGTTCGCTGGCATCCAGACGGGAGCCGGCCTTTGCAACGGGTCGCTTCCTGGTGGTTACGATCGGCCCTTTCATGGGATCCTAACGAGACCCAACCGAGCGACCTCAGGTCGCCGGGCGCAGGCGCCAAAGCACACGTTCGGTGGGCCCAACAGCTGACTTACGCACACGTTTTCCCAGCACCCCTCAACCCCTGCCTAGCATGGACCTTCCAGGTGCAATCAAGGTTAGGCCTCAAGGTTGTGCAGGTCCGCGAGTCAGTACTGCAAGATCTTCAGGCATTGGTCGCAGAACTGCGAGAGGACCAAGTTGAGGCACTCCAGTCCCTTCCAGCTCACGTGGCCGCGGTCTACAGACAGGGTTCGCCACAACTCCGGTTCCAGCTCCTTCCTCTAGCGTGGCTGCTCGAGCTTTGTCAGTTCCCTGGCCGCTCAGAGCTCCTCACAGAGCTGTTTTGGGGTTTTCGTTTGCTAGGCCCGGTGGTTCGCGGTTCAGGGTGGCTCAACAGGGACGACGCTAAGTATGCACGTCCCCTCTCTAAGCAAGACTTTCTTGTCGCCAACAGACAACTCGCAAAGACATTAGGAGAACCCTCCGCTCAGCCAGAGCACCACGAAGTGATGATCGCCGAGCTTGAGAAAGAACAACAGTTGGGTCGCGTGCAGGGTCCGTTGCCTCTGTCCCTCCTTGGGGAGAAGCAAGAGCCAGCGTCAGTCCAGGTCGCAAGAGGTTTCGCCGTGGTGCAGAACGACAAAGTTCGCCGAGCAGACGATTGGCTCAGGTCGATGCACAACAGCACCATCTCAGCCGTTGATACGCCACCGTACCTCGGCGGCCCAACCGTGGTCGGGGGAGTTCTGCAGTGCTCCGAGACGTTCGATGAACCAGTGCTTCTGGGCGCCATAGATCACGAAGGTGCATACAGATCGCTGCCGGTTCGCGAGCCCACAGAGTGTGGACTGGTGATGCCTGGAGCGTCTCCAAGCCTTTGGGTTCACAACGCACTTCCCTTCGGGTCGGTAGGTTCAGTCTGGGCCTACCTTCGGGTCGCCGACGTCGTCTCCTTCCTGACCATATCGCTGCTCTTGATGTTTGCTGCACACTACGTCGACGACTTCTTTTCCCTGGAACGGTTCAGGACGGCGATATCCGGGTTCGCAGTTTTCCAGGCATTTCACCGGGTGCTTGGCTTTCGCATGAAGGAGGAGAAGTCAAAAGAACCCCGGTTCGCTCAGACACTGCTAGGCATAGAATGGACGCTGACCGCAGAAGCGATTTTCGCCTCTCCGGGAGCTCGCCGAGTCGCCAAGTTGGTGGAGACGATCGCTGACTTCCTGGCGTCAGGTCGCATGTCGGCCTCAGAGTGCTCCCAACTAACAGGCAAGTTGTGCTTTACTTGCACGTGGGTTTTCAACCACGTAGGCCGGATGCTGCTTCAGCCCCTTTACCATCGTCAGCATAACGGTCCGCCTGGGTCGAGTCCGCTGACTCCCAGGCTGCAACAGGCACTTCATCAGCTCAGAGACCTTTTGCCTAGGCTGCAACCCCGACGGTTCGCAATAGCCCCGCAAGAATGCCGACGACCAGTCGCGCACTTGTATGCTGATGCATTCCTGACGATACACGGAGTGCGTCGTGTTGCAAACAAGTGGCTGCCGGCTCTCAGTTTCGTTCCACAGAGTCTCGAGCGAAGAGAATGTCTCCGACGGCATCTCCAGAGGCGATCTTAGTGATCTTCAGTTCGCCCAGGGCCAGTTCTACGAGGTCTCCTTCAAAGAAGTTTGGCCCCTCTTGGAACACTTTCACGACGACTGCCGAAGTTACCACAAGGAGTTCGCTCAGCTGGTCGCCGTGTTGGCGACACAACTTCGCTGACGCGCACAAGGGTGGCTTCACGGTGCGCTGAAGGTGGTTAGTTCGTTGCGCCTCCTGTGAAGCCTTTTCGTCTCTGAACTTTACTGTTCGAGGTTTTACAGTTCGAGGTCGCAGCGAGCTTGCGACCTACTTTCGCCACCGTCCGGAAGGGAAGAGTGGACAAAAAGTGTTCGTCCGTGCGTCTGCACCCAAGCTTGTGAAGCATAGCTTGTCGTGCAGAACACGTGTGTTCGTAGTGACAAGTGTAGCGAGAACTTTCCGAAGAGAAGCCTTCGCTGTTCGCAACAAGAAGGCCCGAGGAAAGGACGAGCGAGCTAGCCTTTTTCGCTTTTCCCACCTCTCCCGCCCGGAAGTACAGAGTCCGGTTAGTTCGTTGCGCCTCCTGTGAAGCCTTTTCGTCTCTGAACTTTACTGTTCGAGGTTTTACAGTTCGAGGTCGCAGCGAGCTTGCGACCTACTTTCGCCACCGTCCGGAAGGGAAGAGTGGACAAAAAGTGTTCGTCCGTGCGTCTGCACCCAAGCTTGTGAAGCATAGCTTGTCTTTGATCAGGCAGGTTGTCATCGATCCGTTGGTTTTCTTTGCTGTGCACGGGTATGGGCGTCAGGTTTCGTTTTTGTGATATGTCACCCTTTCTAAAGTCACGGTTGTACCACAGGGTGGCCACCAAGCAGAACAGAAGGACTGCTCACTGATTGTAACTGTGTGTACTCTGCATTAGCTGTTCAGGCAGGCAAACTGCAAGAGGCGGAGTCCTGCTACGAGAAGCTGCTCAGCGATCTGAAGGCCTGCCAAGCGAGTTTGCAATGTGTTACAGCTTTCGGTGACGTTATCTTTGCTTGAAGAGATCGCCCCCCGGTATGATAAATCGGCTGGGCCTTCCGGCAGATTCTCCACACAGCTCCTGGTGATGAGCAGAAGACAACTCAAGGCCGCTGCACTGGCTCAGGACAAAGGTAGAAGCTACATCTGATGCCAGGATATGCCAGGCCAGGCTTCATGGCAAGAGCCGAAAGCAGCCATCCCCAGATCCTCGAAGTAACTCACAGTTGGCGCAAAGCCATGATCAGTCCTGCGGACTCTGAGCTGGCAGAGAAAGAGCAGATGTGGCTCTGGCGCTGGAACCAGCAGAAACTGGCGCTGGCAAAGGCAGGGAACCTCAAGTCTGCGAGCTCGTGGGTGCCTCGGCACGAAATCGGCTTGTCTCAGCCATTGCCGCTCGTGGCTTCTGCATGCCGAAGGACACCCAACAAAGAAGTGTTACAGAGACTCGGAGACCTGCTCGGACTCTCCAACTTGACGAACCTAGTTTAACCTAGACAACATGATATGCGTGTCACTTCGTCCCAAAGCATGTATGTCATGGGCTAAAGAAATTTGTCCTGAACCCTCCGGAAAGGTCAAAAAGTGCCAATTGCTGCTAAGCCGGTGAGGTTCGCGACATGGGAGGTCGCCCATACTTGTTATCACCGCCGATGAGAGACGGCAAGCTGCTCTTGGAAAGGGCAAGACAATCCGACGCGTGTCTTAGCCAATCCGACGTTGGCAGCTGCAGATCCCGCCGACCAGGGAGCAAGTCGTATCTGGGCAAGGATACACACTTGTCAGCACCTGTGATCAAGTGTCATCAGCACCGTTCTTCGAGAAGGGGGCGTAAAGAAGGCTTAAACTAAAGATCGCCCAGGAGTCCTAACTACGTTAACTGTCACCAGGCAATCTCGCTTATTTGTTTGGAAACGTTGTTGTTCGCTGTCTTTGCGAATTCACGCCCGAAGGGCTCCCCTCGACTCCGACAAGAAAGCAGAAAGCGGTATGTTTCCTAACTGAGAGCAAGGCCAGTCTTTGAGGCAAAAAAAGGAACGGCCGCGACACCCTTCGGACGCGTGGCCAACTCTGTCTAGGATTCAGATCCCTGCCGACTGAGTTCTACTCATCAAAGAAAAGGTACTAGGTTGAAAGTAGCTGAAAATCCGATATGTTGTGCAAGCTTGAAGGGAGCAAACATTCTTGTAGCTTGGACTCTCCTGAAAAATGTTCTGTAACTTTACGTCGGTTGAAGCAGTTGGTGAGTTGGCTTTTTGTCAAACGATGCTTGTTAGATCAGAAGTTTCGCCCCGAAAGTCCGGTCGCTTGAATACTTGCAAAGGCTCCTGCGGACCAAATCGGCACCAAGCATGGCCGTCTCTCACTACCACACCGAGCAACGACGCGCCTTCCAGATTGAAGCCAGCGTCCTTGGAGTGAAGTACTCCGCGTCCAAGCCGAGATTTGCGAAGGGACGGTAAAGCCCTGCAAACTCCATTGCCAAACACCAGCAGTTTGATCTTTATCCAGTGCCGAACACTGCTTTCGTCTGCCAACGACACAAAAAAAATCTGTCTAGGACCTAGGACTCCTGAGCAATGCCACACGATCAGAAAAGGGATAGAAGGTGTATAAGTCTTGTAAATCGGCAGACGCGAATGCTTATCTGATTGCGTGATTTCGAATGCTGGCACTTCCAAGAAGCAGCAGCATGAGAAACAAGCTTTTCCCTAGCCCTTCCGAAGGGAGGTGATTCATTTGTGCTCCTGCTAGCACACAACATAGCTACATGCCTCGGCATGTGAGCGTTTCTCGAGGCTTCCTTGAACCAAGTCGTTCGCAAATTCTCGCAACTCAACATAACAGTGGCTACCTTTCCGTGGCAGTGGAGATGACAGGCGAGGAAGCAGTAGAAAGGCGCACCACAGGATCTCACACAGGCCGAAGAGAAAACAGGACGAACAGTCTTTCCCGTGAGCTGCGCTGGAATAGCCTTTCCCTGCAGATGGTGTCGTCCCATGGCCGAAGCATCTGGCATCGGAATCAAGTCAAAGACTGATCCGTACAGGCGCAGCCCACACTTCGCAGTGAGCGCCTTCGCGTGCTGACGAGCCCTGGCGAACACAGCGTATTCATGCTAAAACACTCTGAGGGGGGTTGTTTTTTGTCGGACATGTTCAACACACACAGAGGCCAGAGGATGAACAGGATTCGCCGGGGTGCTTTCCCGTATGGCAACGGTTGCGAAGTTGTCATACAGCTGCGCCAAGGAACCTGGCAGTGTGCCAGAAAAAGCGTGGCCGTTGCCGCCTCAATTGCCTGAGTTTTAAACCAGTCAATTTCGAAGCTTCTGAAGCTTGAACAGACACGTAACTGTTACTGCAGACTGTGTCCGGGACTTAGCTAGGTGGCACCCATCTTATCAACCAGCAAGCCGTACAGCATACTGCGTACTCATAGTGAATCGATCTACGCTTCGCCACTTCCAGGACATCAGGAGGCTCTGCAATCGGCGACAGCAGCTTTGCAGATGGATCCCAAGTGTGTGAAGGCTCAGCCGATGTAGCATGTACGACTGCGCCAACTTCAGTTGTGCGTCTTTGGCTGGTTAGTTATGTCGATGAAGTATAATTTCATCTCATGTCGGCCCCAAAGTGACCTCTATAGTGGAGCGGTCTAGGCCAGCCTCCGGCCTTTTTGAGGCGCTCTTCACTCGCGCTGGCTGCTTCCGTGCCGAGGGCCGCCTTGCGGAGGCGGTCAACGACTTCGCCGCAGCCCGGGCCCCGGCGGTGGGGCTCAAAAGCTTTTTCGCTGCTGTGCTCCGCAGTTGCTGCACACACTCACACTGGGACCGGAGGCTTGCAGATACGAGCCAAGTCTCGATGCCAAGAAGGAGTGGCTGCAAGCACACAAGGAGTTGGCCAAGGCAAGCGGACGTGAACCTTGAGTTGACACCTTGACACCCTGCTCTGCGAGGGTTCGTCTTAAGATCTTTCGTCGGCGGAACTCTCGCGACCCCTGCGGAACTGAATGGAGCTGAGCAACCACAAGCTCCCCGCAACTGTCGGCACCAGGCGAGCGGTGAGCATCAACACTTCAGCAGAGTCCCGGCCATGCAGTGATGTTGATCTTATGCCTGCATGCCTGCCCGTGCATGCCATTCTCGAATCGCTTTGTCGCTAGGTTGAAGTCTTGGCACTTGTGGCGGAGATGAATCGTGCTCATACGGCCGTGCAGGAGGCTGGCAGCGCTCTGGGCAAACGTGCCAGAAACCTTGTGATGCAGTCGCCGAGCCAGAGATCAAAGATCCGATCCTGACTACGATGATGCGCCAAATGCAATCTCTCGCTGATCTAGAAGACTGCTAAGAGCATCTTCTGTGACTGAAAAGAGGTTCCGCTCCTCAGCTCTTCTCTGTGAGGCAATAAGCCAGCTTGGCCAGAGGCTGCTGCTCGCCATGAGGCAGAGAGAGCGAGAGAGAGAGACAGAGCACGTATCACGTCGTGCGAAACTCCCAATTGATTTCGAGGGCCAGCGAGATGGAGAAGGAGCCTTTGCCCTTCCTGGCGGCCCACGAGTTGCTCGGCCACAGCAGACTCCCGACGACCCAAATTTTTCACCCCGGACTTTCTCGGCTAAAGGCTCGTTCGGCAGCATGGCTTGCCAGCAGATCCGATCCTGGACCTGCAACGCCTGCAAGCATCCTCAGTCCTCGCTCGCTGCATGCAAGCTGGAGAAAACCCCCATTCTGTCGAGGGCTCGGTGTGCACATCCTGCCTTGCTTTGCAGGACTTCGATCTCACAGCAGAGGCATTTCAAGAATTGCTTGGGCAGTTCGAGGAGCTTGTGAGCTTGCAGAGCGATGCTCGGAAGACCGAGCCGACAGACAACCGACACACTGACAGGACGATGATGAGGTCATGGAAAGCGCCCAGAGCATGCTGCATCCTCCAGGACTGCACCAGACGAGATCTCGCAAGATACCGGATTTGTGTAAACGGACAGGACGAGGCAATCCAGCCAGGGCTCGACAAATTACAATCCCTCAGCTGCTTGGAAAGAGCTTGGTCGGGAGATTTCACTTCGCTGGCGTACCGCGACTTCCAAGGATCCTGGAGGCTCACAAGGCGCAGCACACCTTCCTGTGCCACTCGTGTCAAAAGCAGTTGATGCCAGGTCATGGTGCAGGAGTTGCAAACACTCCTGTCGGAGTTTAAGAACTTGTCTCCACAAGAACTCGATCGCGTGGATTGCAAGGCGTCGTCACGTCCATGTGCTCATCTAGAGCCATGCTGTGCTGCCTTGCCCCGAGTTACTCGAAGCCACTGCCGAGCTGCAGACGTACCTCGGCGTTTCCAGGCAAAGCACTGACACGGGCTCAATCAATAGCACCGCGTCTTGCGAGATTTTGGGAGGCTGCAGCTGCAGCCAGAAGACGTGGAGGAGGCGTGGGATGCTGGAAAAGATGGGCTTTCAATCGAAGCTGCAGAGGCCATACTGACGAATGAGATGGAGCTGCAGAACGATGCAGACTTCGTCAAGTGCAGCGAAGCTTTCCTGCAAGTCCGAAACCTCTCAAGTACGGATCCAATTGTGGGCACCACCTGTGCCTCCTGCATTTGGACACTTCCAGGAAGATCTGGCGAGCCTGATGCAGGAACTGCTCACGGCTGCGGCGGAGCTGAATCACGAGACATAAATCTTAGTCAGCCTCCCTGCTACATAGGAGCAAGAAGTTTCACCTTACTCTCCAGCTAGCACCAGTTGAGTTGGCGCAACAAATGCTTTTCTGATTTGGCTTGGTTTGGCATATCAATGGAGAAGACGTTCGAAGTTTCAATTTCACCTGGGATTTCTCTTAGTCGGACAGAATCACAGTGTGCATCCTGAGAGATCCGCGGATCAGCTGCCCCACGCAGGCCGAGGGAGGCAGCCGAGAAGTCGATACCCAAGTTTGGGCTCCGCTTTGCGCAACAGAGTTTGTGGCAACGGCAACTGGTCGCCTTCTTAGGAACTGATCGAGATGGCCGTTTCCTTCCTGAGCCAAACGGCAGCCACTTTGCTGATTGGTTTGCGGTTGCACACAGCAAGCGGAAACCGAACCCCAAAGGCGAGGCCGGCGTCAGAGAAGGACAAGTTTCTGGCTGCTCACTTGGCCCTGGTTCATGGAGTTGCGTCTATGCATATGTTACGCTGCGCTGTGCTCTACACGGTGCCTTCCGTGCGAGGCTGACAAAGGTTTGTCTCCGGATGACATCCAAGAGGTCCACTTGGCTAGAGCATCTCCTGGGCCCGGCATTCTGCTGAATGCGACAGGCATATCGGCGCCTAGAGCAGCGTGGAAGTGGAGGCAGAAAGTGTAGACAGCTGCGCTGCTGTTTGCCTTCTGCCTTGAGAGAGCAGGTCCCGGCGGGGGTGGCCGGCAATCTCCCGGCCAGGCGGCCTTGAGACCTTGACATTGACGCACCGGGCAAACTTCTCTCGCTGTGCGAGGGCCCCGGTCCCCAGCCGCCCGGTGGCCCGCAGCCGCCGAGTGGGCCGCAAGCTCCCAGCGGCCCTTCCCTGCCCAGCTCACCGCTGCCCCCGCGGCGACCGCAGCTTCCTGCCCACAGCCCAGTGTCCGCTGGCTTTCTTTCAGAGCAGAGGCTTCCCTCCTAAACCGAGGCGCCGAGCTACCCAAGCCCCAGCCCGGGCTATCAGGCGTCCCGAAAAATCGCCCACTGGCTTTGCTTCTGTCTGCCGCGGCGGCAGTGTGGTCCTGCTGTGGTGAGGCTATGCCACCACCGTACTCCGGCGGTAGCCCTTATCAGGCGCCTCCGCGAGCCGCGAGCCAAGACTGAAGACTAAGACGTGCAGTCCATGCCAGGCACCACCGGTGCCACCTTTCGCCATGCCACCCATGCTGTACCAGGCGGCACTCAGACTTGTGAAGCCAACTGTCAGTGCAAACTAGAAAAGCCGAGAGGAAACCTGGTGTGGGATGACACAACTGCTTTAAACACTACCGTAATGATGCACTGTTGCCTCCATCCGTGATTGATTCTGCGTAGGCAAGCTTAGGCATGGTGTGATGAAAAGCAGCAGCTCCCGATGCATGGAAAAACGTTCCGTAGTGGAACGATACTCGTCTTTTGAGCCAGCCGATAGCCTCCGGAAGCCAGGGATACCCACCGGAGCCTCCGTCTGGCGGGCCTTGGTGGGCTGGGCACTCGGCGTCCAAAGGTGGATTTTTCCTGCAAAGCACTGGAAACTTTGCACAGGCTTGGCTTCTTGGAGGTCTTGGTGCAGGCACGCGGGACGTCCTTTTAGAGCAGACTGCATCCACCGCCGACTCCGCACAGTCTGACTTGCTGAAAGGCTTGGTGGGGACCTTTTTGGTGAATCCCTTCAAGCCCAGATCTCCGAGAGACCCAGATCTCTGTGGCTCTCTGCGGGGCTTGGACTCCAAGGCCGGAGGACTTCAATTTCTCGGAGGCGGCAAACTGGCTCTCAGCGACCCGGCTCAAGAGTCAAAGACCCACAAGACACGACGGCACCCGTCCCACGGCCACGGCATGAAAGGACGGCAGCCTTCCGGCGCCCAAGAGCGCTCGAGCCTTGCCGAATCTTCCAGAGATGCACGGGGGTTCACAGCCCTGGCAACGAGGCGGAGCCGACGGAGTCCGGCAAGTCGGATCCCGCCGCCCCTCAGCCCGACGGCAAGGCCCCGCCCTCTGCCAGACTCTTCCCTAAACCCAGCCATAGGCTCGCCGCCCCTGGGCCAGGCCTCTCTGGAAGAGCTGCTTGCCTTGCTCAGGAAACAGAGCGAGGCACTTAAGGTCACGCGAGTTGATTTGCGACTTGCGTTCATCGACACGTGTCGGCCGCTGGCCGCTCTCTTTCGAGGCGAAGAGGCCAAGAACAACGTCGAGATGTGCGCCAAGACCTTGCAGACGACACAGGACAGGCATATCACAGAAGGGTGAACAAAAACTCCGATAGTCTGGCTGGTCACAGTCATTGCAAGTCAGCATGTCCATCCACCACAAGCAGAGCGCAAGGGGAAGTTGACCTTTCACAGGAGCAACACCAAAAAATGTTTGCAGAGATGCAAAAGGTTGGGTGGGAGTGGCATCTCGAGCTTCGAGAGTGGAGTCGGCGAGCATGTTATCTCTCGCAGGCTCTGCAGACTGTGGTGTCGCAGAAAAGCTCCAAGCCGCAAACCATGGAGCTCTCTGTCCCGGCCATACACAGCAGTCAGCACTGCAGGGCTCCTGATGGAATCCAAGTGTACGCTGGGACCGCAAAAATGCTGCGACCGCCAACACGCAAGCTTCAGCTTTGCAACATAGAAACTAGCAAGGACACCGCTTTATGCAGCACGCCGTGCAGCGCCACTTTGCTCAACATGCATCTAGACATAGCTTTGCAGCAGGGACTTCACATAAAGGTCGTCTCAAGTGATAGCAGATCGTTCGCCATGACCGAACCACTGCCTGGCGACGACATGCATCCCCAAGTCATGCAGGCGGATGGACAGGCTGCATCTTGAGGTGTTTTGCAAGCTTGTGAATTGCAGGCTCTCATGCATGTCGTGCAGCTGACGAGTCAGAAGGAAGGGCGGCCTGAGGAGGACATCAGCTTTGTAGCTTGCAGTCACCAAATCAAGCGTGGTTCTCGAGCCTGCCCAAGACTCCGGACAGGAAGTGCTGGCGGAGTTCTCAACCCCGCAGGGTATGAAAGCTTTCACCGACATGATGAGCATGGCTGCTGGAGGACTTGGAACACTTCCTCGTCTCAACATGTGTTCACGTGGGGTCCCTGGGTCGGTGGAGTGGCCCTGAGGAGCTGCAGGCAGCCTCCGAAAGACCCGCATGTTGGCAGAGGCGACCGGCAGAGTGGGAATGTACATGGACTGCCTTGGCGAGCTGCTTTTCAGCAAGACGGGAAACCTCGCGGTTTTGACCCTTGTGCTGTGAGATCCTTATGGAGCGTTCTGAGGCACTGCCCCTGGCTGCTTGCAGATGAGAAAGGTGCTTCGGATGACGGGGAACACCACGGATGTTTGCTGAAAGACTGTTCCGGCAACCTGCAGCAAGTCTATTTTGCCCTGGATGCCTGGAGCTTCACAGTACCACTCTCTCTTCAGGGCCAGGGTTGACCGGTTGACAGCGTACGTCGCACGTATGCTGTATACATTCGTGCCCAGGATCTTGCCAGTGCCACTGGATTCTACGCCAGCCGCTTTGCAGTGTGCATGCCGGAGGTGAAGTGGTATGCCACGGAGCAAATGCTGGATCCAGCAGATTATGTGGGGACCATGATGCTTGAGGACTGCCTCGAGTACATGACCACAGCTCCAGAAAGTCCTGCGAAATCCAGAAGCCAGAAGAAGTCTTTGATGGATGACGACCCTGCGAACTCCGACGAAGACATGGAGGACCGCTGATCAGCAGGGGGACCCCTTGCAGTTTCGTGCCTGAAAGATGGGAGATAAATGAGTTTCTGAAGCATTCCAAAGTTGGTTTTAAGGAGTGGAACGGGCGGAGTTGCGGTGCGGTCACGTTGCAGGACTTCGACGGCTTCCTGTTGTCCCTCGGCACAGAGCCCAGCCGACAAGCGTCCGTGCTGCTCCGTGGCCGTGTTGGCTGCGTGGATGTCACAGAGGCCAGTTGAAGGGGACAGAGATTAATTCAGAGCAAGTTGCGTGGCACATTTGCATCCTGCTCATGCTACATGTTTGCGAAGCCCCCCCTGAGGATGCTTGGGAGGGTGTGCAGCACCTGCTGGGCAGATGTTCGGCTTTGGTTTGCACCTCCTTGTTGACGCAGGCCGGTGGCGAAAGGGCGGTCGAGGGCCGGGAACGCTCAAGCAAGGAGACATGCCGTGTTAGATCTTGCTGAGGTCGGATACAAGGAGCCTTATATCTGGACCGACGTGTTACAAGGGGCTGCTCCACTGCTCGAGGATGGCGGTATCCTGTTGCTCTATGACTCTGAGTCTTCGTCGAAGTTTGCTAGTTGTTGCAGGTAGTGTTCCTGTGTCACGGTTGCCTTTCACCATGATATTCAAAGGAGAAGTGGGGTGACTTTGCAAACATTGACAAGATGACCAAATTCATCCAAGAGCAGCATTTGGATCTGGAGTTGGTCGACAAACAGGAGCCTGTCGACTACTCAGGCGATGTGGATGGACGGATGTTCATCTTGGTCTTCAAGAAGACCAAGAGAACTGCTCGCAAACCAATTGCTTGGCTTCTGCAGCGAGCAGAAGACTTCAAGCAGGCTGGAAACAGCTATTACAGCAACCCGGCGAAGCGCAAGCACCCAGAGAAAGTGGTCTGCTCCAATCCACGGGTTCAGGTGCTGTGGAAAGCCGTGGCCTGCTACGTTCAGGGCCTGGACTGTCTGACGCTGGTGAGGTCTGCCCTCTATGAGCAGGAGCCTGACATGACAACTGAGACGGCTACCGAGAGAGAGAGGCAGCTGAAGCTCCTGTCCTCAAGGCACTTGGTGCTTTTGACACATCAGATGTTGTTGTGAAGGGACAGGCGAATTGCATGTGTATTGCTTGTTGTACACATTGTGTATGCTGAGAATCTCAACTCCTACTAGGCTCGATAGGGTTTTTCAGAGGTTCGACAGATTTTGCCTAGACGGTGGAAGACAAGGAGGGAGTTAGGGAAAATCTCTGGACATGTTGCAGCAGCAGCAGCAGCAGCAAATCCTGAAGAATTGAAAATTCAGCTCTGCCACATCCGGGTTTCACAGGAGGTCCAACTCATACGCATGAAATCCAGAAGCCCAATTTCTGCCGGCCTGAAGACTTGTGACAGGCTTTACTGCAACTTGGCGGCTGCATACCTGGAATTGGGCCCGACGGCACAAACTTACCAACACGCGCTCAAAGTCGTGAACTTAGCTCTGGAACCTTGGCCGCGACTCATGCAACCTCGGCCTGCCTCCGACACTTCTGCGACCACTGTCGAGCCCAAGGACTGCGCACCAGACTGGGACAGGGCGATCGAGCGCAAGGCTAAGATTTGCGAGGTCCTGCGGACGCAGAGGCAGGGCGGTGACTAGATGTTCAAGATTTGTTCACTTCTACGAAGATTCCTCACGCAGACACATTGCGATCCCCATAGCAGCGGATTTAGTGGAGCCGCTGCAATTCCCTGCGACAAGCTGGTTCAGCAAGGTGAATTTCGCAGAACAACAGTGTCGGAGCACAAAGCGGCTTCGATTTGCTCTCCACAAAAGTTGGAGTTGAGAGTTGTCTTCTCAGTCTTGTTCCAGCCTTCCGGCAGGCAGGAGCACATCCTTGATGCGATGCTGCTGTGCCAAGGCTAACTGTTTAACCTGCTCTCATGCTATGAGCAGGGCTTTATGCTTGCAATGGCTGAAAAGCAATCGGGTCATGCCCGCGCTGAAGGCTTGCGAAGCGAATCGCAACATTGCCAATTGTATGGCCGAAGAGTAGATGCGTTCGCAAAGGCCTCAACCATCCAGGCTTTGGCAGCGATGATCCAAGGTGCAGGGCGGCGACCCCAGAGCGAACGTAGCTGAGCCCAGTGCGGCAAATGGCTTGCAATTCATGTACAGCTTGCGATCTTTGTTTCAGCTAACCTCATGGCACTTCAGAAGCCGCCTAGGGCCCAAGGGGTTTTGCGGGTGGCTGGCGCCATGTTAACGAAGTGCAGATGGCTACTTCTGGCGGCTACTCAGTGCGATTTTGATGTTCCAGTCCTGATGTTCCTTTGCTCTTGCTCGGCTTTGCAGCACTAGCCCCAGATTGGGACGCAGGCCTTGGCCGCCTCAGCCATTGCAATCACCACCAGATCGGATAGCAGCAGCGGTGGAAACCCAATCCGAAAGGCTTCTTTGCACTTATGCAATGATTCGGATAGCATTGAGACATGTATTCGCTCGGGACGCGCACATTCTCGCCTCAAAGGTGATCCGGATGATGCAGAAGATGGGTGACAAGATAGAGAACGATGGCAAAAAGGAGGCAGATCTTTATGAGAAGTTCGAGTGCTATTGCAAAGGAACCATAGCAGAGCTTCAGAAGACACTTGACAGAAGAAGTGCAAGGCCGAAGAAGCAACAGCCAAATGGTGTGCTGCAGATAGTGGTACTTTGACCAAGGAGCATCCAGCAGGCAGAGAGCAATCCGCTTTCTCAAGCCGACATCGACGAAAAGAAAGCCGAAGTTGAATCGCTCCAGCAGGATCTGTCGGCTCGTCTGTGGCAGCATCGGTCGGAGTCGCTATCTACTTTTCGTCGTCTCCAGGAGGTCACCAAGCTGAAAGAGGACCGCCTGGCTGAGGAGGAAAGCTTGAAGGCCGCGCAGGCCCAGCGCACCAAGGAGCATGACAACTTCGTGGCTGAGGCGGGCACGGTTTAAAGGTGTACTCATTCGTTTGTGTTGACCCTGCCTAGTCACGCTTTCCAGCGAAGCACTAGCGGAAAGGCGGCTTCAAAAAAAGGGTTTTATCCGGGAGATCCCAACACAATCCAAGACTGAAGATCTCGCCGCAGGTCACTGAGGAAACCCAGGTGGTCTCGACCATCGACCAGGCTTCTGCAGCCGTCGGTGGCCCGACAGAGACTCCCACTTCGTTCATGCAGATCACTGACACCAAGGAGCAGGCACGGGGGGAGCAAAACGGATGATGATGATGATGATGATGATGAAGTGCAGCACAGGTGGCACATCGAACATCATCGAACGTTCCGCACCGGCCCTCACTGTCCCTTTGAGGTTCCTCGGCTTCTGCGCTTGCTCGAAGGCGACCTCCGCCTGGACAGCGCCGACAAGCGCCGAGCCGCCGCTTTCCTCCAAGGCGGATTTGCGGGAAGTGGGAACAAAGCAGAGCGAGCCGAGCCTAAACTTTGCAAAGCCCGCCTCACAGCGACTAGCTAGGAAGCCACTGCAACTGCTAATATTTTGTACAGCGACTATTGCCTCAGCTACTGCGACTGAAACAGCCTGCTAGGCGATCGGAGCGCAGCCGACCCTGGCATGGTAGCTCGGCACGTCTTTGGCTTCGGGACTGTCACTCGGCATTAGGCTGCACCCACGAGTTGCAGCGCGTCCGCTAAGGTGGTCGGCATGCTGGCAGGCATCAAAGATGAGACCCTTGAGGAGATTCAGACTGAGAACAAAACCGAGGAGGAGGCCGTGGAGACGTTTACAGGGGTCAAGAAGTCCAAGAAGGTTGAAATCTCCACTCTCCTCAACCAGTTCGAGCGCAAGATGAAGAGGATTGGTGAGCTGAAGGTCGAGGTGGTGAACCTCGAACGCCAGCTGGCAGAGCAGAGCGGCTCTCTTGAGGATGATAAGCAGAGCCTTGATAAAGCTGAGAATTTTTGTGAGCAATATCGAGGGTTAAGTCCGAGCAATCGTAGGACAGAAACCTTTCGGAAGGCATGTCACTCAGGATGCTCGCGGAAGTCCAGAAGAGTTGCGCAAAGAAGGCAGAGGACTGGGAGAAGCGCCAGGCTGCACGATTCTTGGCGGGCACAGCAGATCGGTTCAACGCGAGAAAGTTCGCTCATAGAAAGAACACTGCTTGAACCAGGTAGTTGCATAGATCGGGTTCGTTGAGCATGGTCGAAGAGAGCAGACCGTTTTGTCAGATCAGATTTGTCAATCTCCAAGGACAGGAAGAGCAGCTTGCTCTGCAGGACAATGCCAGCAGTCAGCATTCGGCCTGCGTGTGGGTTTCCTTCTTGATGCATGCCGGAGCTGGAGCCCGCAGGAGACCGTCAAAATATTGAACTCGGATGAGTCGCTGGATCTCTTTCGAAAGCGCAGCACTTCTTTGATTCAGCTCTCCAGTGGCCGGGAGAAGGTCCGTCCGAAGCTAGATCATCGTAGGTCGCACAGACGTCGCCCCGTCACAGGCTCGTCGCGAGGCTTTGAGCCTCCTCCGCGAAGCGTCGGCGAAGTCCGAGAACCCGGAGCTAAACTTTCTGGCGTTGGCTCTCTCGGGCCGGAAGGCGCGTCACAGAACTAAGTCATGCTTCAACTGCCCATGCATCGCTGCAGGCAGACTTCACCAAGATTCTCAAAAAGATTGACGGCATGGTATCCCTGCTGGATAAGGAGAAGGAAGACGACAAGACCAAGAAGAGCTACTGCGGCGAGGAGTTCCGCACCACAGAGGACAAGTCCAAGTCCCTAGACTCCAAGATCAAGTCGCTGAAAGCCGGCCTGGCGGAAAAGAAACAGGCGATTGCAAAGCTCAGCGAGGACATCAAGGCGTTGCAAAGCGGCGTCACGGCCTTGGACGAGTCCGTCGCCAAAGCGAGTGAAAATCGGAAAGCCGAGCACGAAGAGTTCCAGGCCGTAGTAGTGGAAAGCACGTCTATAAGATAGAGCGATAAGCTGTTCTTCTGCCCGTCTCTCGCGGGATTTCCTTGGACTCCTGAGGAGAGCATGTCCTCGAATTCGGCAACGATCGATCTGCTGAGTCTGGCGCGCGACCGTCTCAACAAGGTGTACAACCCAACAATGGTGGCAGAAACCACCACGAAGAGTCCCTACGACCTGTCGTTGCTTCAGATGTCGTCCAAAATCGCGCAAGCTCCTCCCACCTTCGAGGGTGGCTACCAGAGAAACAGTGAGGGAAGCAACGGTGTTCTGAAAATGATTGATACGTTGGCATCCGCCTCTCGGCAGCGATGGCAGGGTTTGTCCATGCCGACTGTGTCAGTAGCGCATGTGCCTGCTGAAACACCAGGACGTCGAGAAAGAAATGGCAGTTGCCAAGACTGAAGAGGCAGATGCCCAGGAAGACTATGAAAAGACAGTGGAGGACATGAGCCTGCTCTGGTGGTGTGTTCCACGCCGCTGTGTTTCGCAAATCGGGAGCTTTCCATGAAAATGCCGAGAGCTGGGACGAATCTCCTACATGTCCTGGCACAGGACGCCGCCAAGAAGCGAGAGGCAGACCTAGCATTGGCCACACGGAAGGCTGCAGAAAAGTCGGAGGTTGAGAGTGACGTCAGTGACGACAAGCCGCCTAGCGCCACTACAGCCCTACTTGTGTCGTGTGTACTGAGTACACAACTGGGCTGTGCTTTCGGAGTGTTTTTAATTTCTGTGGTTTTGCTGGGTCTTGGTATACAACGATTGATTGTATGGTTTGTAGTGTCAAACAACCATAAGTTTGTAGTGTCAAACAACCATAAGCCACGTTAGCTCAAGCTGCCACTCGAAACGAATTGTCAGTGGTAATTTACCACTGACAATTCGCTTCGAGTGTCAGCAAGCTTCTCATGTGAACATCGCCCTCACCGTGGATCACCTCGAGTGTCAGCGTGGAGCCCTAGAGTGCAGAGTCATGCTGGTGTTTGCGGCAAGACCCATTCGCCGCTGCGGCAAGACCCATTCGCCGCTAGCAGGGTCAGGGTCTGAGGGTAGCATCTAAGAGAGAGTCATGCGGCATGGACCATTCGCCGCCGAGAGCTAGGATGAGAGTCATGTTCTTATCGTCTGCTAGAGTCAGATGCCATAGGTAGGTCGGCAGAGTGTCATAGCAGTGACTTGCAAGAGCAGTTTGTCAGTGTCAGGTACCACATTGCATCACCGAGGCCAGACCTTCCAGTGTCAAGCGATGGCAGGACACTGAGCGATTGCAGTCAGGGTCATCGCCTGAGAGCGCAGATGCATCCGGAGTGCAGTGTCATTTTGTGCGGCATGACCCATTCGCCGCTAGCAGTGTCAGGGTTTGAGTGTAGCATCTAATCTAAGAAAGAGTCATGCGGCATGGACCATTCGCCGCCGAGAGCTAGGATGAGAGTCATGTTGTTCAATGATTATTTTCGTCGTCGTCTATTTTAATAATTAAATGACATATTTAGTTTAATATTTAAATTTAATTATAATAAATAAATATTATTCAATAAATGACGCCATAGGTAGGTCGGCAGAGTGTCATAGCAGTGACTTGCAAGAGCAGTTTTTGTCAGTGTCACATATAACAATAATAATTTCAATTTAATATAATAATTAAACACATTGCATCACCGAGGCCCGACCTTCCAGTGTCAAGCGATGGCAGGACACTGGGCGATAGCAGTCGGGGTCATCGCTTCAGAGTGCAGTGTCATTTTGTTGCGGCATGACCCATTCGCCACTAGCAGTGTCAGGGTTTGAGTGTAGCATCTAAGAGAGAGTCATGCGGCATGGACCATTCGCCGCCGAGAGCTAGGATGAGAGTCATGTTCAATCATCATCTAAGCTGCTAGAGTCACATGCCAAGAGTGTCACAGCAGTGACTTGCAAGAGCAGTTTGTGAGTGTCACATGCATCACATTGCATCACTGAGGCCAGACATTCCAGTGTCAAGCGATGGCAGGACACCGAGCGATTGCAGTCAGGGTCAGCGCCTGAGAGCACAGAGGCATCCAGGGTGTAGTGTCATGTTGTTGCGGCATGACCCATTCGCCGCTAGCAGTGTCATGGTCTGAGGGTAGCATCTAAAAGAGTCATGCGGCATGGACCATTCGCCGCCGAGAGCTAGGATGAGAGTCATGTTCTTATCATCTATCTGCTAGAGTCAGATGCCATAGGTAGGTCGGCAGAGTGTCATGGCAGTGACTTGCAAGAGCAGTTTTTGTCAGTGTCACATAATATATCACATTGCATCACCGAGGCCCGACCTTCCAGTGTCAAGCGATGGCAGGACATTGGGCGATTGCAGTCAGGGTCATCGCTTCAGAGTGTAGTGTCATTTGGTTGCGGCATGACCCATTCGCCGCTAGCAGTGTCAGGGTTTGAGTGTAGCATCTAAGAGAGAGTCATGCGGCATGGACCATTCGCTGCCGAGAGCTAGGATGAGAGTCATATTGTTCAATTATCGTCTATTAATCTGCTAGAGTCACGTGCCATAGGTAGGCCGGCAGAGTGTCATAGCAGTGACTTGCAAGAGCAGTTTTGTGAGTGTCACATGTATCACATTGCATCACTGAGGCCAGACCTTCCAGTGTCAAGCGATGGCAGGACACCGAGCGATTGCAGTCAGGGTCAGCGCCTGAGAGCACAGAGGCATCCAGGGTGTAGTGTCATGTTGTTGCGGCATGACCGAATTCGCCGCTAGCAGTGTCATGGTTTGAGGGCAAAATCTAAGAGAGTCATGCGGCATGGACCATTCGCCGCCGAGAGCTAGGATGAGAGTCATGTTCTTATCGTCTATTATTATCTGCTAGAGTCAGATGCCATAGGTAGGTCGGCTGAGTGTCATAGCACTGACTTGCAAGAGTTGTATTATCAGTGTCACATGTATCACATTGCATCACCGAGGCCCGACCTTCCAGTGTCAAGCGATGGCAGGGCACTGGGCGATTGCAGTCAGGGTCATCATCGCTTCAGAGTGCAGTGTCATTTTGTTGCGGCATGACCCATTCGCCGCTAGCAGTGTCAGGGTTTGAGTGTAGCATCTAAGAGAGAGTCATGCGGCATGGACCATTCGCTGCCGAGAGCTAGGATGAGAGTCATATTGTTCAATTAAATTATCGTCTATTAATCTGCTAGAGTCACATGCCATAGGTAGGCCGGCAGAGTGTCATAGCAGTGCCTTGCAAGAGCAGTTTTGTGAGTGTCACATGTATCACATTGCATCACTGAGGCCAGACCTTCCAGTGTCAAGCGATGGCAGGACACCGAGCGATTGCAGTCAGGGTCAGCGCCTGAGAGCACAGAGGCATCCAGGGTGTAGTGTCATGTTGTTGCGGCATGACCCATTCGCCGCTAGCAGTGTCATGGTCTGAGGGTAGCATCTAAAAGAGTCATGCGGCATGGACCATTCGCCGCCGAGAGCTAGGATGAGAGTCATGTTCTTATCATCTATCTGCTAGAGTCAGATGCCATAGGTAGGTCGGCAGAGTGTCATGGCAGTGACTTGCAAGAGCAGTTTTTGTCAGTGTCACATAATATATCACATTGCATCACCGAGGCCCGACCTTCCAGTGTCAAGCGATGGCAGGACATTGGGCGATTGCAGTCAGGGTCATCGCTTCAGAGTGTAGTGTCATTTGGTTGCGGCATGACCCATTCGCCGCTAGCAGTGTCAGGGTTTGAGTGTAGCACCTAAGAGAGAGTCATGCGGCATGGACCATTCGCTGCCGAGAGCTAGGATGAGAGTCATATTGTTCAATTATCGTCTATTAATCTGCTAGAGTCACGTGCCATAGGTAGGCCGGCAGAGTGTCATAGCAGTGACTTGCAAGAGCAGTTTTGTGAGTGTCACATGTATCACATTGCATCACTGAGGCCAGACCTTCCAGTGTCAAGCGATGGCAGGACACCGAGCGATTGCAGTCAGGGTCAGCGCCTGAGAGCACAGAGGCATCCAGGGTGTAGTGTCATGTTGTTGCGGCATGACCGAATTCGCCGCTAGCAGTGTCATGGTTTGAGGGCAAAATCTAAGAGAGTCATGCGGCATGGACCATTCGCCGCCGAGAGCTAGGATGAGAGTCATGTTCTTATCGTCTATTATTATCTGCTAGAGTCAGATGCCATAGGTAGGTCGGCTGAGTGTCATAGCACTGACTTGCAAGAGTTGTATTATCAGTGTCACATGTATCACATTGCATCACCGAGGCCCGACCTTCCAGTGTCAAGCGATGGCAGGGCACTGGGCGATTGCAGTCAGGGTCATCATCGCTTCAGAGTGCAGTGTCATTTTGTTGCGGCATGACCCATTCGCCGCTAGCAGTGTCAGGGTTTGAGTGTAGCATCTAAGAGAGAGTCATGCGGCATGGACCATTCGCTGCCGAGAGCTAGGATGAGAGTCATATTGTTCAATTAAATTATCGTCTATTAATCTGCTAGAGTCACATGCCATAGGTAGGCCGGCAGAGTGTCATAGCAGTGCCTTGCAAGAGCAGTTTTGTGAGTGTCACATGTATCACATTGCATCACTGAGGCCAGACCTTCCAGTGTCAAGCGATGGCAGGACACCGAGCGATTGCAGTCAGGGTCAGCGCCTGAGAGCACAGAGGCATCCAGGGTGTAGTGTCATGTTGTTGCGGCATGACCCATTCGCCGCTAGCAGTGTCATGGTCTGAGGGTAGCATCTAAAAGAGTCATGCGGCATGGACCATTCGCCGCCGAGAGCTAGGATGAGAGTCATGTTCTTATCATCTATCTGCTAGAGTCAGATGCCATAGGTAGGTCGGCAGAGTGTCATGGCAGTGACTTGCAAGAGCAGTTTTTGTCAGTGTCACATAATATATCACATTGCATCACCGAGGCCCGACCTTCCAGTGTCAAGCGATGGCAGGACATTGGGCGATTGCAGTCAGGGTCATCGCTTCAGAGTGTAGTGTCATTTGGTTGCGGCATGACCCATTCGCCGCTAGCAGTGTCAGGGTCTGAGGGTAGCATCTGAGAGTCATGCGGCATGAACCAGAGCTAGGAAGAGAGTCATGTTCTGATTCAAGGTGCTGACTTTAAAAATCTGCTAGAGTCACATGCCATAGGTATGTCGGCAGGGTGTCATAGCAGTGACTTGCAAGAGCAGTTTTTTGCCAGTGTCATGTGTCAGATTGCATCACTGAGGCCAGACCTTCCAGTGTCAGGCGATGGCAGGACGCTGAGCGATTGCAGAGTCAAGGTTGTCGCCTGAGGGTGCAGTGTTACGGTGTTGCGGCATGACAAATTCGCCGTGGCAGTGTCATGGCCAATGGCTTGAGAGTGGTATTTGAGAGTCATGCGGCAAGAACCATACGCTGCCTAAGTAGCAGAGTCAGGAGGGGCAGTGGTCATTGTCATCCATTGCCCAGGGACAGTCAGCGGTAACAGTGGAGTGCAGCAGTGTCACAGCCAGCATGCTTGCGCAAGTGACTGTGGAGTGTCATGGCTGCTGAGTGTCAGATGCATGACGTCTGAGGCCAGACCCCTCCACAGCCAGAGTCACAGGCAGACTGGAGAGCAAGCCGCTGAGAGTCAGCGGCTTGCCCTCCAATCTTCTTGATGGCAGGGCGCTGAGTGCTTCCCACCAGAGTCACTGCAAGTTAAGATGGCCGATGATTGCACATGGC